CCGGGGGGCCGCGGCTGCGACCGTGGCTAGGATGATCTCCAAGGCGGTGTAGGTGTATACTCCGAAAAGAAACAAGAACAGTTTGGGATGGATGGAGGATTTGTTTTGATAGACAGGCAAAATAGTGGCAAATATTAAGGCCTTTGTGGCATAATTTAGAGGCGATTTTTGGCCTTTCTTTGAGTTTTGGCCGGCGTTTTCTTGGATTTTTATGGGGAGACAAGCTAGAGGAACGAAACGTGACAAAGGAAGAGGTGGGTCGGAGGAAAGAGGGCCTTTACCGAAGGAGAAGAGGATGAGTTTGAAGGTGGCGAGCCAAGCGATGAAGAAAGAAGTTGGGCCTCCGAGACAGATGGTACTCAGATTTAGAGGCAGGACAAAGAAGAGGAGTGTCACCGGGAGGATTACGACAAACCTTTTTGGTCCTTGTTTGGTGATCTTGGCGATGGCGTGACAATACCAGAGTGATGCCACCACCGTAATCCATACCATAGCGAAGTTGCTCATTTCTCCTTCCATCTTCATGATCACCATATCGCGATAGTACCCCCTTAATTTCGCTTAAATTTCTTATTGATCAGATCGTAATAATAAAAAAACAAAGACTTGGAAATTCTTTTTGTGGTGTAGACACTAGACAAGGTCAAAAATATTAAGCAGGTCATTCATGCTATTCCATGGTGGATTCTGTTGACCTTTTAAGTATGGTATATGTTAAATATCATAGTCTCGATCAGTTCACCGATTTAAATTTTCAATTTGAGTTGAGACGTGATTTTATATAAAAGCTTTTAATTATAATAAAAAAGTTAGATGTGACTTTTTGTGAGAGCTTTTAATTGTAACAAAACTAGAATTGAAAACTCGAAACGGTGAAATGAACGAGGCATAAATTTGTTCACATTAAACTTATGTCAAAATTAATTAGTAATTGGAAATCTAACATAATTGAGCTCGGCATCCTTCGATCAACAATTGCGTTTGCTACTATGCTCATAATTTTTTTGCCACATTTAATTTCCTGCCAATTTTACTCGCCAATTTATTATTATTATTTCTTCATTTTTAGTGTTTTATGAGGGTATGTGGCGGAAAAGGGCGACCACCGTCCTCAACTTTTTAAGTGCAGAGCCCAAATATTGTGTATACGTCATTAAGCTCTACAAATTTCCCGATTCATCTACAGATTCTAAAGACTAGTTTTTGTTCAATTAGGAAAAAAGAAGAAGACGATTTAATTATTTGCTCATCTGAAGACAATTCAATGAGATGTATGCGTATGCATACTTCACAGATCATGAAAATGAAGAACTGAAGAAGAAAGCCAGCCAATCGACGCTGTCGGACGGAAAGGACTCTTAATATTATAAAATGCAACATTTGAAAAAGACTATGATTTATAATACCATGTACACATGTCAGTTGAGATGCAAAATCCAATCTGAAAAGCACATAGAAATTGCCGTGATAGAATACATTGCGAAATTGACGTGAATAGGATCTTCCTTTTCCTTTCAAAATGTGCCCACGTCTACACACGCCTATGGATGTTTGGGGCAGGGTCGGTGAAAAGTTACATATAGGTCGCTTAGTATAGTGATAATATATCTAGAGAATCAAGTGTAATACCTAATTTCAGGGGGGAAAAAGAAAAGTATTACTCGACATAATTATTTCAACTTGAATTGTCCATGCACAGTTGTGTACATTTGAGTTATAGTTTGAGATACGAATTTTTTTGAGTTTGTATTTGAGTGAGTCAAATCTTGAATTTGTATTTAGATAGTATTTTAATAAAAACTCAATGCTGATGAAAAATTTTAATATGATATATGGGTCGGGTTTTATTCGTCTTTTCGTTGTCAATGTATAGAAAAAAAATCATCTCAATCAGAATTAAAACCAAAAAGTTATAATATTTTTAAGAATAGAAAAAATACTGTTCATTAAAGTTATAACTCGAGTTGCTTTTTTTTTGAGTTTTTCACTCAAAAGAACAAGCTCTAAATATTCCAAACGTTCTAGATTCAGGTCCCAGTTTTCCCCAATCATAAGCAAATAAGATCAAAGGGAAATATCGACTTGAAAATTGTTTCAGCTGCAGAATTAGGGTTAATTTCACGAATAGTTCTTAAGATTTGCTCTTAATTTTTTAGGGTATGTTTGGCATGAGGAATGAAAGGTAGAAAAAATTGATAGATTATGAGGGAAGGAAATTATGAAGAATGGGAAGGATTATAAATTTCCTCAAAGTTATTTGTTATGATAAAAAGAAAAGATTGTGGTTATCCATCCTTTTGTTTGATATTAAAAGTAGAAAGTAAAGAAAGGATTGCTATTATTTATAAAATTACTATGTTACCCGTTTAGATAAATAGATTTTTTTTTTTGGAATGTTAATTGGTGCATTATCAATACATAACACCGAAATAGTAGAAGTTATATTATATAAACAATGCCCACGTAGAATTATTCGAATAAATGTAAACATGTGATGTTACATATGTCTTCTTTTTAAGTAAATATATGTTAGCATGCATACTGTAACCACATAAATTTTAATTGTTCTATCGTTGAAAAATAATGATAATTATATTTGCTGAGATGAAATTCATTTACTGATTTTTAAATGAGATGAAATTTCATTGAAAAATAAAAACGTAACAGCGTTAACTAGTTTTCAACAAAGGAGGGTAATTTTCTATTGTGACTTGACTCCATCACCAATCCGTTCATATCAGTGAGGATTGTTTTTGGTGGGCTCGGGTGGATTCACAGTCCTTAGCACTTTCCACTCCCTTGCCGAATCCACCCTACCAAACAAGAGAAAAACTCCCCCTTCCTCCTTTCTCTCCACCGCTATTAGATATGCAACAATGGGCCGACACAATGACTGATCAGGTTGACACGGTCTGTCACTGTTTAAGACACGACCCAGCTCATAAATATTAGTGTGTTAGGCTGGGTTAACATATATCGGCCAAAGAGTGAGCCCGGCACGGCCTCTGAAAAATCATACGCTAGGTCGGGCTTGGGTTAGGCTAGGCCGGCTAGTGTAAGGCCCATATAGGCCCACAAATGGGGGAAGCCAACAAGTTCAAGATGATTGGGTTGATGACTTTAAAAATTTAGACATTTATGATACTCTCACCGGGAGTAATATGTTGTAATTATGAACAATATTTTTTTTTTTCTGTTTTTAAGTAATTTTGTAAACATCTTATGTATAATTATCCTGATGGTACTCTTTTTTCCTTACTAAGGTTTTGTACCACTGAGTTTTTCTTGGAAAGGTTTTTAATGAGGCAATCGTAAATAAAATATCCCTTTTCATATTTTCATTGACTCTTCAAACTTTTATATTTGTTAACTTGTTTAAAAATTTAAAAATTAAAAATTACATGCTTAGATGGGCCAAGATGAGCCTTGAATGGGCTGGCTCATTCAAAACCCATGGCACAGCCCATCCTGGCCCACGACACGGCCCAGCCTAGTCCACGTAAAATTGACATGTGGTGTGGGCTGGGCCGAGATAATTCTTATATGGGCTGGCTAGGTTTAACCCACAAATTTCGTGAGTTGGGCCGGCCCGGCCCACGGCCTGCTTGGGCCTAAGGATAAAGGGTCAGGCCGGGCCGGTCCATTCTTGCATCTCTAACCGCTATCCTTTTCATTCTCAATCTAACTTACTAAACATACTTTCAAAACGTTTCACAGTTGGTCTTTAAAGTTTTATTATGTTTTAGTTTCGATCATTTTATGATAATTTTATGTTTAATATTTGATGAAAATTGTGAAAATTAAGGATCAAAATTAAAAACATATGAAATTAACGGATAAAACAATAGTTTTCACATATAGTCCTCGAGTTCTAACTGCTTCTAATTTTATACACAATTTACAGAGATTCCATCAAATTTTAATACCTAATTAACGGAAAGATCGAAACTAAAATAGAATAAAATATGAAGGATTAATTGTGAGACATTTAAAAAGTCAAGAATTAAAATGAGATTGAGGACAAACTTCAGAGAGACCGTTTATGAAATTAACCCATAAAATTATATATGTTTGGCTTGAAATTGACTGCTTTTCTAAACGCACACCCTTGACTTGCTAATATAATTAACTAGATTGTAATGATTTACGTGGGATCCTTGTTCTTTTGTTATCTTGAGTTTCTCTAAATTTCATTTTCTTCTATATATAGGTTTTTTCTCGAAGGATCCAGAAGAAGAAGAAGAAGAAATGTGCCGGTAAATGCAATATACCTGGTTCGATCGGAAAATAATATATGTAATACACATTGTTTGGGTGCGCGGCATGTGATTAGACACACAAAAAAAAAGGAAAAAAGAAAAAAAAATTCTAATAATTGAGTAAAATCTTATATAAAAAGTTAATTTAGTAAGATCTTCAATAGACGTTTAGTTTATGAATTTAGAATCATAATTTAAAAATATTTTTTATTTATATATATTTTTTTAAAAAAATATTATAATAAATTACGAACTATAATTTAAATTATAATACGAATTCAATAAAACAAACGCACAAAATGGAACCGTTGAAGTTAGCTCAAGTGATAGAGGTGATAGAGTATGTAAAGGTAGAGATCAAGTAAGACTGTGTTCCCGCCACCAAACTTGTGAAGTCACTTTCATTAAAAAAAATTATTAAAATAATTACATTTGCCAAAAAAAAATAAAAAATTAAGTGAAGGCAATAATCAATCCTTAACGAAACCAAAAGTAGTCGTACCAAGATTTTTGACGAACTCAATAGCAGCAAGAAGTTCTCTGTGTCCCCTCTCATCCGCACCGCACCTCCTTACCGCAGGCCAGAACAGCCAGGAACCAGTGACCATCACAAACGACATCGCCAGCACCCCCGAGACTAACGGCGGGAGCCGCCCCTTTCCCTTAACCGCCTTCTTAACGGCGACTTCGACGGCCAAACAGACGCCGTGAATCAAGAAAAAGCACGTGAGGTCCCACGTGGGCTTGGACCTTCCCAAGTAAAAGAAGATCAGCTCGTGCATCATGCCAGACACGAAAAACGCTGCCACTATAGCTGGCAGAGGGGCCCACATTTTACCAATCCAGCGGATGGAAAACGATCTCACGGGATCGTAAACTGTCGGCCGTAGGATGTTACTCGCCATGAGATTCCACCTTCTTCCCCAGAAGTCTTGAAGCGATGTGGAGAGGTAGGGCTCGTTGAACTGTGGCTCAAGCTCGACTCCAAGCGCGGCTCGAGCCAACGAGCCGATCAAGGCTAAGATGGCTTCAAAGATTATGTAAGTGTATATGGAGAACAAGAACATGAAAACTTTTGGGTGAAGAAATTCCCTCTTTTTGTAAGCTAGTAAGTTCGTAGAATATATGAGAAGCTTTATGGCATAATTGAGAGGCGATTTGTGTCGTTTTGGGTGATGATCTGGTGATGGGTGGTGTTGGGTGATTTTGATGGGGAAGCAAGCTATGGGGATGAAACGTGGCAGAGAGAGAGGTGGGTAGGACGAAAGAGGGCCTTTACCGAAGGAGAAGAGGAGGAGCTTGAATGTGGCGAGCCAAGAGACGAAGAAAGATGTGGGGCCTACTAGGAAAACGCTTGTGAGACTGAAAGGAAGAACTAGGAAGAGGAACATCACTGGAAGGATAGCCAAGAGTCTTGTTGGACCGTGTTTGATAATCTTACCGATGGTGTGACAGTAGCACAGTGATGCCACCACAGACATCCATACCATGATGAAGTTGCGTATTTCTCCTTCCATTTTTCACTCTTTTCTCTGCTCTTACAGTGATGAATGATCGTGGTTTGTGACTTCGTATAAAACGCCACCATTCATGTAGTTATAATTTTTTTGTTTCTTTTTTCACATTAAACGTGATACGGTTGATCACCCATTTGCGTCGTGATTTTTTAAATGCTATAATCATGACATCACATGTGGAGAGGCCCAACATATGTGTTTTGGGTGCTAAAGTGGCTTTATATTAAGGGTGCTAAAACTTGCTCGATATCTCTCTGACGTAGTTATAACTTATGGCATATTCGGATTCGAGTTTTCAATTTTAAGTTTTTAGGTCCCGTTTATTTCGTTGATTCGAGTTTAGAATTCGAGTTTTGCTACAGTAAAAAGCTCTCACAAACAATCACATCTAAGTTTTTTGTTACAGTAAAAAGCTCTCACATAAAATCACATCTCAACTTGAATTAAAAACTCGAATCAGCGAACTAAACGGGCCAGTTAAAAATTCTCAAAAAATGTTACATCTAAAATTTTTTTTTATTATAATTAAAAATTCTCAAAAAATATCACATCTCAACTTCAATTGAAAACTCAAATCTGCGAAGTGAACGAGACCTATTGTCTCATGGAATTGTAATCGAGGATTTTCGCTTTTCAAAAACATTGTAGCTGATATTTCAACCAACATTCTAAAGGTTTGGCTCTTTCCAAAAACATTTAAGCTGATGTATATATCTACATGCATGTGCATATGCATTCTTTAGTGCACTACCATTAGTAAAGTTATCAGTTTCTTATTGAAGGGAACTTGGATGTTTTGGTTGTTTCTTTCTGATGGGCCAGGTGGTAGTGTTCACATGACCCATGTGGGAAACAACAAAAGAAGGTTTCCCCGTCTTAAAGTGGGCTGCAGCCCCAAATTTGTTTTCCCAAGTGGGCTCTTTACACATATAGATGGTAGCTAGGCACCACAATAAAATCTCTCTCTCTCTCTCTCTCTCTCTTTTCAAGAAGAAATGAATCTTTACATTATAATTATATAGCTCATGTTTGTTTGACTGATTTAGCTCAACTTAACTCAGTTTAAATAGTGAGAACAGTTTGAACTCGTATTTGACAAGCACATAATCTGAATTATATTTTCTGTTTAAACTGAGTTAAACTGTCCAACTTAAAGTATAACTCTCTCTTTAAGTTCAACCGTTCACACCAGTTTTAAACAGTAAAAAAGTGTCCATTCTTTCTACTTTTTACACCTACCAAACATAAATTCGAATTGTATTCCGTGTTCAGATTAAAATTTTAACAGCACATCTAAACACTAATTTGAACTAAAATTTAAACCACACCGTTTGATTTTTTCTGTTTAAATCAAAAAGTTCAAATCACTAAAATTCGAACCAACCAACCAAACCGGAGCATAGTAAATTGGATAGACTAGTTGTATAAAACACAGATGACGTTTGGTTTATGTATACAGAATCATGATTCAAAACCATTCTCATTTTACGCGTATTTTTTGTGAGAAAAAATACTGTAGAGAACCATGAATCATGATTCAAAATCAAGAACGAATATTGAAAATAAACGTCCTAGTTGATTGGCATATAAATGATAATTAATGTTGAGTTGATGGAAAGCAAAATAAAATAATGAAAAAGATATGTATGTAAGGACTAATTAAGAAGTAATAAATATAAGCGCTATGCCAAGATGCCATCTAGTTGAGTAGGGTCGAATCCCGTTTTCACCCGAAAGGGAATATGTGGTCTTTGTAGTTGTAATTGTACAAATGATGGGCAACGACAATCTCCTATCAATTATGCTAATAAAGACAGAAAAATACTTGCCGCCTAATCTTTTTATTCCATCACAAAGCTTGTCCCTGTGAACTTGTTGATTTGCTTCTTTTGTATAGATCTATGGACTAGAAACGCATATTGATTCTCATGAGATAAAGATAGCGCTTCATATTAAAATATTAAACTATTGTTAGTCGACCTCTTAACAGTTTAAGTTTTTTAGATGAATTGGTAAACTAACATGGTATCAGAGTGAGATGTCATGAGTTTAAACTCCCGTAATTACACTATTTATCCCCATTTAAATTGTCACATGTGTTGGGTTTTTAATATATCTCTAGTTTAAATATTCACGTGTTGGGCTTTTCAATTAATTTACCTACACGATTACCCAATGTCCAGCCCACACGTGAGGGAGAGTGTTAAAGTATTAAACTATTATTGATTTACCTCTTAACAGCTTAAACTTTTAGAATGAATTGATAAACTAACAAATCAATGTCCCGTTCTTTTCGCTGATTCGAGTTTAGAATTCGAGTTTTGTTACAATAAAAAGCTTTCAGAAACAGTTACATCTAATTTTTTTACTATAGTAAAAAGCTCTCAAACAACATTACATCTCAACTCAAATTAAAAACTCGAATTAGCAAACCGAACGGACCCTAACGGCTGTAGATTGTAATCTTTGGCCACAGGCCAACCCAACTGAGCTTACTTCCTTGGTGACCGCGCACAAAACGACACTCTTGATCATGTTCCGTTTTTGTTCTCATCCCTGAAGAAATCCCCAGTCAATTTACAAATAGATCATATATTTCCTCTTGGAAGGAGTTTCTGTTGTATACAGTATCTCGAACTTTAACAAAGAATCCAAGCCACTTTCCATCAAACATTATTTTTTCTTAATTTTACACGTAAGACAGATATATATACACATACACACGCACACATCATATAGAGCTATATTTGCATGAGAAAAACGACAACATTTATCTTTATAATTCTGTAGCCATGCAGTGTTTGACAGAGAAGGACATCTGCTTTGCAAAAAAGTCATGATACACAATCCCGTTCTTTTCACTAATTTAAATTTAAAATTTAAGTTTTATTACAGTAAAAAATTCTTAAAAGTAATTATATGTAATTCTTTTATTACAATAAAAAATTCTCACATAACATCATATTTTAACTTAAATTAACGAACTGAATAGGTCCATAATTACTTCCCTTGTCCTTTACCTTTCATATTTCTGGATGCAAAAACGTGTCGATATGGGAGTGGAGAAGCAATTCATTAATGATGAAGCTTTTCTCACCCCATTTTGAACAGTATTTAAGTACTTTAGACTTTATTTAATGAGTTAATTTGAATTTTTAATTTAAGTTGAAATGTAATTTTATTTGATAATTTTTTATTGTAATAAAAAAATTAAATATAATTATTTTTGTGAGATGTAATAAAATTTAAATTTTAAACTCAAATAAATAAAATGAATAAGACAATAATATTGATATCCCTCGCAAGAGAGGATTGAAAATAAGCTATTAGGAAAATCCAGAACATAACCAATATTATACAGAATAATCAAAGGTAAGAAAAAAAATTAATGGAATCATGTAAAAATGTATTGACATAAAATTGTGTAACTGCCACACATGATTGTTATTTTATGATCTTCAATATCAACAAATCTACCAGAACATTTCCTCGGCTGATTAAGCGCGTGGTCCCCATAATTGCGAAAGTTAGTTCAATTTGGAGAATTCGTATACAATATTCTCAATCAAAAGAGTTAAGACTGATATTTCAGTGATCAGTACTCATCAAAAACATGCAATGAATCTCAGCCGTTTAACTCACCGAACACCTAATTTTGAGATACAATGAATGAAAACTGTGTATTGTAAATGTCAAAAAAAAAAAAGAAAAAAAAAAAGAAACTCACAACTGAGAGATGTGCATGATCAATCTCGTCGCATTCATGGTCTTCAAAGTAAGAGCACTCCCAACATTCTTCAAGAACGCGCCCACCGCCGCGTACTCCTCAAACGCCCGGACGTCCGCCTGAAACCGGAGAAGCGGAGGGAAGAACAGCCAAAAGCCGGTCACCATAACAAATCCAACGGTCAACGGCCCGGAAACGATCCTCGGCAACCGGAACTTCCCTGCAACTGCTTTCTTCAAACCAATCTCAGCCGTTAAACAAGCCCCGTGAAGGACAAAGAACCACGTGATCTCCCACGTGGACTTTAGACGCCCCAAGTAGAAAAAGATCAGCTCGTGCATGATCGCCGACACGGCGAACGTCCCCATCACGGCGGGGAGCGAGGCCCACTTCCGGCCGATGACACGTGTCGCGATGTTGACGACGGGTTCGTATACTGTCGGGCGCAGAATACTGGTGACCATGATGTTCCATCTACGGCCCCAGAAGTCCTGGAGTGACGTAGACAGATACGGCTCGTCGAACTGCGGCTCGAGCTCAATCCCAAGGACGGCGCGAGCAAGAGCCGCCGCGATGGCGAGCATGATCTCCAGGCAGAGATAGATGTGGAAGCTGTAGAGGATCAGAACCAGGTTCTTGGGCATGAAATGGGTGTAGTAACGGTGGGCTTGTACGAGGAGAGCGAGAATCAAACCTTTTATGGAGTAGTTGAGAAGGGATTTTTGTCCTCTTTTTCTGGGTTTTTGTGGATTTTGAGGTTTTTGATGGGGCTGTATCTTGATGGGTAAACAGGCGACGGCGACGAAGCGTCGGGGAGAAATGGAGGGATCGGAGGAGAGAGGGCCTTTGGCGAAGGCGAAGAGCAAGAGCTTGAAATTGGCCAGCCAAGCAAGGAAAAACGACGTCGCTCCTCCGAGATGCATGGAAGAGAGATTCAAAGGAAGGAACAGAAAAAGGATCACGATTGGGGCTATTCCCAAGAGTCTCGGAATGCCTTTTGGGACAAGCTTCCCCATGACGTAGCAGTAGAAGAGAGACGCGTAAGCCGTGAGCCAAACCTTCACGAAAGTTATCATCTCTCGCTCCATTATTGTAATCTTGATCCCAAGAAGATGAACTGATGAAGATCTTTTGTTACGTTTCTTGTTTCTTTTCTTTGAGCTTTTTTTCTTGTTTAACGAGTGATCACAAGACGTGAAAAACGGGGCACGTTTTGTTTCCTTGTGCCCAAGATATAAAAAATGTCAACGTTGTTTTGTTTAAAGTGTGACCGGAAAAAGTGGCAGATTGAATTTTACCACTTTCCAGTCCGTGGAGAATAAGGCTGCGATGGTGTGGAATTAATGGAGAATTAAGGCCCCGTTTATTTCGTCAATTCGAATTTAAAATTTGAGTTTTGTTACAGTAAAAAGTTCTCAGAAACAGTCACATCTAACTTTTTTACTACAATAAAATATTCTCACACAAAATCACATCTCAACTTAAATTATAAACTCAAATCAGCAAAATGAACGGATTCTGACATCAGCAAAAAAAAAAAAAAAAAGAATAATATTTACTCGTGTGCCAAACCGGAAAATGACACGCCGCAGAATTGTTTATAGAATAAGGTATACGCAAAAAGCATGTTGTTTTGTGATTTTCTTTCTTTTTCAAATTTTCTAGGGTAGCTTATTTAGTTGGTTATTTATTGTTTGTATAGACTTTTACTTTTCTTTTTACGCGAGCCGTGGTGTAAATTAAGGTCTCATTTATTTTATCGATTTAAATTTAAAATTTGAGTTTTATTATAATAAAAAATTATTAAAAATAGTCACATTTAATTTTTTTACTACAATAAAAAAACTCTCATATAAAATCACATCTCAACTCGAATTAAAAATTTAAATCTACGAATTAAACAAACTATAAATTATAAAATTACCACCTAATTAGTCCCTTAAAAAATAAATTAACAATAATTTTTTATTTTTTAACCGTTAAATTTATATTAAAATATGTTTATTTTATATATTTTTTAATTTAATATAATTTTAATGAAGTATAACAGTTAAAAAGTAAGCTATTAATAAATCGGCCCACCAAATAAGTTATTTGCAACCACAGATATTAGAATCTTATTTTCTAACCCATGCGTTCTAGAATACCTCTAATCTGATGGACACGATAGAGCACATAAGAATGGAAGGTTAAGATTATTACACCTCTTTTTTTTCTTTTTCTTTTTTTAAGTTTTGATTGGTCAGGAGAAAGTTGTTTTTGGACCTGTCAGTTGTTTGGTTTTGTCGAGAAAGAATAATAATTAAGAATTCTTATTTACGATGGAGACGAAGAGAGCCACCCAAGTTTGAAGGATTGTATGGAAAGTGAACTGAAAGTGGACTAAAAAAACAATCGTTCATTTCACAGATTTAAATTTTTAATTCGAGTTGAGATGTGATATTTTTTAAAAACTTTTCACTGTAATAAAAAAAATTAAATGTGACATTTTCTGAGAGTTTTTCACTGTAGAAACCTATAACTGAAAACTCGAATCGGTGAAATGAACGAGACGCTATTCCAAAGTGACCTTATGTATTTTCTGGTTGTATTTAGTATTTACACGATGCCGGTCCCCTTTTTTACGTGATTTTATATAAATTTAACAGATAAAAAACTTGACATACCGATATGTTGACGTATCAGAAAAAGTCTAAAAAAAATCTATTAACTTCTTATTTATTGTAAGTAAAAGTTTGAACAACTGAAATATTCAAAGGTTCCCTTCATTTGCATGTTTGACATCCCTTGGTCTTCATTTTAAAAATACCAGTTGGACAAAACTACTGCAAGATTTCTATTTGTTGTAATCGCATAATTTCAAATGCCAAAACAAACACAATAAAGATTTTGAGACATTTATATCCCATGTCATGTTTTTCTTTTAGGTCATTTCCTGCTCAATTCTTCACTCACCATCATCATCATTATTATTTTTTTTTAGAAAATCATCTATTATTATTATTATTTATTATTATTATTATTCGACGTCACAAAATAATGCAACAAGAATAAACACTGCACATTGCAAAAGTCACAAACATCGGAGGCATGCCATCTTCAACACTCAGGTTTGAATTTAGTGGCTATTGCCATTGACAATTTGACGTCGTTTCAACAAGGGAAGCTTTTTAAAATATATGTCATCCTTGCCGGTGCAACATTACAAAAGAGTAGGTTTCTTTTTTTTTTAACGGAGAATTTATTATTGAGAGTGTGTGAATCTAAATCTTTATTTATTATTCTTGATAAATATTTTTTTGTTAGTGTAATTATTTAACTAAAAAAATTATGAATCAAGAATAAAAGATAAAAATCTTAAAACTCGTTTAGTTCGCTGATTCGAGTTAAGATATAACTTTATATAAGAACTTTTTACTGTAGTAAAAAAGTTAAATGTGACTGTTTTTTAGAACTTTTTACTGTAACAAAACTCAAATTTTAAACTCAAATCCGTGAAATAAACAGAACCTTAATCCATACATTTTAAGGGTATTTGCCAAGCTTACTTTTTTTTTTTTTTTTTTTTTTTACACAATACAGAATCAAATACACGTCCTCCTAAACTCAGAGCCCAAACCATATATCCCATTGTTTGACCTTTTATTAGCAATTTGGTATTACACAATGGGTCCTATTTTGAGCTTTACTATTACAATTATTACAACTTGTCAACAAATCGGTATAAAATATAAAGATAACAGATGTGGGAGGCTTTTGTAAAAATAATATAATAGAAAAGCTTTATTCATAAAATAACAATTTAAAAATTTTTATTTGCAAAATGACTTTCTGAGAAGAAAGAAAAACGAAAAAAAAAAAAGGAATCCAAAACCCTCCTGAAGCTAGCTCCGTTTCTCCTCCCTCACGAAGTGCTCAGTCATGGCAACTTTTTTTGATTTCTTCACATTCATTTTCCCCAACTATCAAAGCTCTAGATCGGCAAGATTGAAGGAATTTTTATCATATTTTATTTGATTAAGTGCTTTGAAGAAGAAGAAATTATTAGAAGAACTTTTTAGAGAACAAAATTTAAAAACTCCAGCATAAGGAAAGAGAAGATCTTGGAGGTTCTGAAGGGGGAGAGAGAGAGGGATGAGGATTTTAGGTCGTTCGTGAGGGCTCGTAGAAGGGAGGAGAATGAGGAGAGCTCGAATTTGATATTTGACCTCAGAAATGAGACCACATCTGTTAATAATACATATTAATTATATAATTAAGAATTTATTCAAATAAAATAAATAAAATTAAAATTAAAAAGTCATTTTTCTAATTTTACTTTTTTACTCTGTTATTTTAGCCAAATTCTCCAGATGTGGTCATCTCTCTTTCATGAGGAAAAACAAAGGATTATTCACGACATGAGCATAACAAACTCGGTTAAATCCTCTTTTATTTCCAGGCCCTAATAACACGTATATAAGATGTAGTTGGACAACTCACGTCTTCTCATCGCTCATCAAGGACTCATAACACAAAGTGAAAAATAGCGAATAATTCTGATATTAGCCGATTTAGAAAATCCTTTCAAAGATTACAATGGCTGAAGTTGCAAAGAAAGATCAATGGCTTACCGGTCAAAGCCAACATATTTTGTTGCCTTTCAACGAAAAAACCTTTTAATATCCACAGAACCTCCGAGCTGTAAGCCAGTGATACAAAGAAGAATAAGCTACCTTAAGAGGTCGACATTTTCTTCATCTATATAACTTTCTCCTCTTCGCAATTATGTAAGTACTGGGGGTGTCACAAAGTATACTGAGACTCAAAAACTCTCTAATGTTACTGCTGCTGTTCATATATCTGCATATAAGCCTCTGAGAGAGCAACCATTTGAGGAAGAGTTTCTGAGACATGCAAATCCTGCATCTCGTACCTGCAAATATTGATGGAATAAGTAAGTTCACAGACAGGTTATGGCTTAAAATAAACGAAATCTATGAGAATGATAGTTTACCATAATTCTTCCGATTTTCTCTGCACAAATACCCTGTAGGAACCCTCACCAGGTTTACCATCATGAACAACATTGGCGATCAGATCATACTTTGAGCGTAGTTTTTCATTTACTTTAGGCGTTGGCAAGGGGATGTAGTCCTTCAGTTCAAGGTTTTTAACAGGAAAGTTTACTGCGGCACAGATAAATCAGTTAGCAGAAGGTATACAGGAGGGTAACATCCCGTCACAGTACGTACAAAGTGTATTCCCAGCAAAAAAGTCTCACCTAAGGTAGGATTCTTCTCAACAAAGAAGTTGTTTTTCGTAAACCGCCGCATGTGAAGAATGACATACTGTGGTAATCGAGTGACCCGATATCTCATCCTTGCTATATGAGGACGGACAACTTCAGTCACAGTCTCCCCATCAAATTTCTTCAGAATGTTAAACAGAGGGACCTATAAAACAAACCCGATTTATTATTTTATCCATCAAAATAGTACTAAGAACCTGGTTACCATCCGCACCCGGGACCTTGGTCCTAGGTAGCGACGCTCCAACCACATGAGCTAACCTGCTTCGTCAGTAACATTCCCAATTACAGTTTAAATATCTAAGTTGGCAAAATTATAAGATGTAAACGTAAGTTAACTACTGTGTTTAAGGGAATAGGGAAACTCAAGATCAACAAGGATATATTTCAGACACACTTGAGCTTGTTTGAATTCAATGTTAAACTATGTATAATCTATGATGATTCAGGTTGTAAGTTTGTAAGAAGTTATACACGTTCTCCTTCTTTTAGTTAAACTTCAAACAAAAATGCTCCAATTCAGCCACAGTTAACAATTAAAACTTATATTTAAAACTTGAAGCTCAACACCAACTTTTAAGGCACCAAAAAGTGAAAATTGATACATCATCATTTCATCTTTATGCAGAACTTAATCATATACATGATAATTAAACAACGAAAAACCAGCTTTCACCAAAGAAATGAACGAACCAAAAACACGTCATTACCTGTGGTATTATATTTTTCTCCATAACATCTTGGAAAAGAGGAGGTGGTGGCAAATCCAGTCCCAGCATTAAGAATGGCATATTGGAAGACTCTGTAATAATGCCATTGTTCTCAGCACCACCATCTGTAGGTTTTAAAGCACCATTTGTGTCATCACCATTTTCCTTCTTTTCAGCAATAGTCTTGTTAGGAATTTCTTTCACAACCTCCAGTTCTCCCTGTAAGCATAGGTTCATGATAAATCACGAGTCAACCATAGTAGGAAGCCACAAGTGCAGCATCTAGTAAGCAGAAGCAAGGCAAACGAGGCAAAAGTGGGAAAAGAGGTTAAACCTGAAAACACTCATAAATAATGCTGCTATTTTTCTTTGAAGTCCTAAGATCAGAATGCAGTGTATTAAGGAGCCATGACATAAATTCAACTGGATCAGACTGTGCTCCTATTCTAAAACGCTTTTTACTGGCTTTCATCACAGCCTGCAGAAACTCGTGTGGGCTCACCTACAGAAAATTAAGAGTTGCAAATAATATATAATTATATATATATATAATTATATATATAAGTATATCAATTTCAATATTGAAACAAATACTTTGGTGTAAATCAAGCTAGGGACAAACCTGTCCTTTAAAGTTGCGTGCATGCCAAATTTTTCGTGTGAGCTCCCCGAATCTATGAACAAGTGGAGATTTGCAGTGTTGATAATTCTTGGGAATCAGGAAAAAGTTTCTTAGGGGAGTAACTCTCATCAGAGATTGAATAGTGACATTCACAAAATCAGTTTCCTTAATATTGTTAAGCCCCACCTGTAAATTTGCAAAATCAAGAGAGCACGAGCAAAACCAAGAAAAATGCCCAAAACTAATACTTTCCTGCACCTCTAATTTATGGCCACACACAAGCAGAAGTTTAAACAAAGAACAAAAATAAGCACCATTCCGGGAAGATAGTCTGAGCCGTCAAGTGTCCTGGACCACAGCTTATTTTTGTCGAGCAGTTGAACTTCTTCAGTAAACCTGAAATTATGACAGTTGAGTTGAAACAACTTCTTTCACGTCTAAAAAATTCCGCAATGGTTTTAAATTAATTGATGATTTGGAACAAGCGGAGAGAGAAAATGAAGAAGCTTTGGGAACATATTCTCAAATTTGTTGAAGAAAGTGCAAACGTGTTTGATTTTTAATTATGAACTCGAAAAACCAATGGTTATAGTAATTCCCGAGATATTAATAATAATGATGAAAGAGACGACACTCAAACGCGCGATTGTTGATATATTATTCACAACATTTGGATTTTCGTCTAGACATAATCAAAGGCTCAATGCACGCTCAAACGCGTAAAACAGTTATATGGATAAAGAGTGATGAGTAAGAAAAACAGGCAAGTGACACATAAGAAAAGAGGAGATATAAGTGAAAACAATAGACCAAAAACAAACCTTGGATTTAGAACATGTCGAATATCATCTAATGATGGATCACTAATCTCGTATCCATCAGGAAGGCAATAAACCTTCTCTGTTCGGAGGTTTATATAAACATGATGTCCAGCTTCAAGACTATGAGTATATGCATGAGACTTCCTTCCCCTTCCTTGGTAATACTTCCCACAAACCAAACACGCGTACACATTCAAATTCGATAGAGAAACAGAGCAGAACTTCTCAAAGTCAAAATCCAAAACCTGCAAAAGCCCCAAAAGACTGAGCAATCATAAACTCACAATGTAAATCAGTGTGCGCACTGTGCAGTGTTTAATGGTTATCTTGTACAGTTCCAAGTGATTAACCTGGCGATTAACGGTATCTAAGTAAGGACAATCCCTTCTAATCTCAATTTCACGGCTTCGCTTTCCCAAGGAAAATCCTTCATCACGCAGGTAATCATCCTCGTCCTCATCCTCTTCGGCTTCTATTTGAACACCATTTTGTCCAGTCCTTAACATACCATCACCATGGCCATCCGAACGCAGTTGCCTCTCACTCTCGTCCTCTTCATCATCATCACCATAGTTAAAACCAGGAAGAAGGGAGTTATCAGAGGCAGGTGGAGGGGAAATCATCTTCTGTCGTTTCCGCTCAGAATTTAAGTCTCCATCCTGACCAACTTTACCAGTGTCTTCCTCACGTTCTCTCTTGGATGTCATGTCCTTGACAAAACTTCAACTTTCACCACTAAAAAGTGAAACCAACAAGTAAATATGAAGTTTCCCCAACTAGGTTTTTATCCAATCAATCAATAATCCTATCGAATTCATGTGCGAGAGGGAAAATCAACTTCAGAAAACCCTAGAAGCATCAGAGACATAATTCACCACTTAACATAAGGAGACTCGAAAATTGAATCCAATGACACTGGAACTAAGATAAGAAAGTAAACATAAACACTTGATTGAACGATTGAAGCGAGAAAATTACATCAATGCGAATTTCGATATGAAAGAAAACGCGGGAAAAAGAGAGAAATTAAACCATTCAAGAACAGATTGAAAGCCAAGGCGAGAATATTAATAAAACAAACCCTAAGGGGGCGTTTGGTATGCAGGAATCAGTATGAATCATATTCCCGGAAAAGTGATGGAGGGTAATATGATTCCTAGGAATAATACATTACTGTGTTTGGTTCCATACAGGAATCTTTCGCAAATTCTCAGGAATATTACATTACTGTGTTTGGTTGTGCATGGGAATGTTGTGAATTAAAAAAATATATTATTTTTAAATGAATTACAATTAGCACTAATATTTTAAAAAGTATAAAATACAACACAACAAGTAGTTCATAAAATTATCAAATAATAGAGAACAAGTAGTCCATAAAATCCTATATACTCAAAAGTTCTTACAAAAGTTCTAAATATGAGAACATATACTCGAATAAGGTTCTAAACTTGAAATTAAAAGTTGTAAATCTATGTAGGAATATGAGAACATAAAATCCTATTTTTTTGATCATGAGCTAATATATGTAGGAATATAGCTACTAATTCTTCAACATCCATATTTTTTGTTCCCCTCAAATTGCCAATGGTTCTAAGGTAGTTACATAGGATAGTAAATGTTCTCCTATTCATACGAGTGCTTTCAAGACATGCTAAGTCACTCTCATGTATCCATCGATGGTAATTTAGTTGGCGTATATGATGTCGGCGATAAGAACTCTCACCCCATCTATTTCTACGCAAACGTCTCTTACTAATAATTACAAATATCATAAGCATGAACAAAAATGTCATGGAAGAAGATCCATATCTGTTCATTGATGGGAAAAAAAGAAATAAGCATACTTCTACAGAACCAAATCCACAGAACATACAGAACCAAACATAAGGTTGCTAGCTTTGAACCATAAGCATACTTCTCATATTACAATAGTACTAGCTTTGAACCATAAGCATACTTCTCATGTTCTGTTGATTAATTTTCATTTAGTTTTTAAACCGTTTGCTTTGTAGCTACTAGCTTGTTCTTCAATAGAATCCCATTTACCAATAAAACAAGTTGATAATTAACAGAAAAAAAAAATTAATAAAAAGAACATGCACACTCCAAAATCTTAGAAAACACATCGACTTATCATAAAAATACATTAGGCGTGAGAAATTGACCCTGTGTCAACAGCTAGATTAATATCCTTAACATATATATATGTTTACGTATATGTAACATCTAGAATATCCATGTAGCATTAAAAGTAGTACTGGTGGCCGTTCGCCAGAAATCGTGGCCAGAAATCGACCATAGCTCCAGAAACCCATCGCCAGAAATCGTGGCCAAAAAAGGATGAAAAAATCGTGGCCGCTCTGGTTCAAACCCAGATGCAGTTTAACAGAAAAAATTTTCAAGTTCTGGTTCAAACCCAGATGCGCCGATGCCGACGACGTTCAAATCGGAAAGTTCAGATCAAAAATTTTTCACAGAAAAAGGAGAAAAAAAGGAATCATACTCTGGTGGTGGCGGCAGAGGAAAGTCCGGCAACGGCGTGGTGGATCGGAGGGCGGCGGCGGCGTCCTCGACGGAAGCGGTGCTGGGTCTGGACGAGAGAGAGACTGGGTCTAGACGAGAGAGAGGTTGGGTCTGGACGAGAGAGAGAGATGGGTGAGATGGGTGGGTGAGAGAAATGGACGAGAGAGAGGTTGTTTCCCGTAAATATTACTTGATGAGTTTAGTATTATCTCAAAATGTGATAACGTGAAATTCATAAACTTTACTTTCCTATTCCTACTCTCATGATTATCCCATACCAAACGCCCCCTAAAAGGAAAATCGAAGAAGGAAAGAAGCTGAGAAGAAGCTGTACCTGAATCGGAGAACTGAGAGAGTCGTAAATGGTGGTAGGAGAGGCGGTGACTGGTGGTGAGCTTACAAGCTTAAGTTGAGAGTTGAGCTTGGGGACTTCGGAGGGAGAAGTTCTCCCAAAAGAAAGCACGGCAGATTTATTTCAGGTTCTTCTAGAATCATCTCAACCGTTGATATATCGAAATCGTGCCACGTAAATACTAGATTTTCTCTTTTAAAGGGTATTTTTTTCGTGGTATTTCACACTACCAGTAATCTTAATTATTAATTGATCAAAATGACTTAAATTGAAAATATACGTAGAATAGATAAATTTAAATTTAAGAGTTAAAAAATAAAAAATTATTGATAGTTTATTTTTATAAAATTATTAAAAAAATTCTTTTTTTTCAAGTGTTCTTCTTAACTATCTGTACAATACTTTTTTTTAAGATAAATTTTATTTTTGCATCCTGAATTTTAATTTATTTATCACGTTGCTCTTGAATTTTAAAAATTTATTTGCGCGCCTACAAAACATGCTAATCACTTTACCTTTTTTTGTTTATTTAACTAATGGATTTGATTACGTGATAATTATTTAAAAAGTAGTTTAATAAATTATTTACATTAATACCCTTTAAAATATATATTATATTTTAAAATGTCTCTTAATCTATAGAATACATCAAAATGTCTCTGATATATAGAAAACATAATAAAATAACATTTTATTGATGTGACATGTCATTAAAAATTAACTAGACATTAAATTCTAATTGAATCAATAAAAGTCATTAAATATTAAAAAATAATAAATAAATATAAATATGCTTCAGTTACAAAAATTCAAAAATTAAATAAATGATTTTTTTTCAAAAATTAAAACCTAAAAGAAAAGAATAAATTTTTTTTAAAAAAAAAGCTTTATTCCTCTTCAATTCTGAAAGTACATATCAAAACATATTTTTTTCCTTAAAAGAATTTTTTTTTTTATATTTTTGAATTGTCTTTTGGGGTTTTCAATTTTTGTTTTTAAATTAGTTGATGAAGCATGCCACTAAAAATTTAAAAAGTCCAAAAGACAAGTAATATATATATATATCGACGGCTGCAATAAATGAGACATACCAGGATTTAAGAAATAAGAACAGAAACATCGATAAATTGGCACATATGACTCTGTACAGCACATGAAATCGTGTGTTTGGCTACCAGGAAGGTTGAATTCATAAATGACTTGGAAAGCCAAGTCAAAATTCTTTTCCACGAGAGTTTCTGCAATTTTACACCTTCTCCTGCAAAAGAACAAAGATAGAATATCAGTCTCTTGTGTGGCCATACGAAAATCTTTTGGAGGCACTTTATAACAAGGAAGAGTGATAAGTAAGATATTGTGTTAACTTATCCAATAAGATCCAATAAGAATGGCATTGAACTATATATATATATATATATGTATATATATATATATAAAGGATAAAAAAACCTTCTTTCTCTTCAAACCTCAAAAAACCTTCTCCCTCCTTAAGTGAAAAAAATTCCACATCAGCAAAATTGTTACTTTATTATGTTTTTCAAAGAATAGAGGCATTTTTATGTGTTTTCATAGATCATGAGGCATTTTGAAATATGATACATATTTCAAGGGGTATTTATGCAAATAATTCATTAAACTAGCCCTCCAATAATTGTCATGTCATCAAATCTGTTAGTCAAATAAACAGAAGGGATAAAGTTAATAACGTTTTAAAATTTAGGGGTGCGCAAACTAATTTTCAAAGTGCAGAGACAAAGTGATAAAGAGCAAAGTTGAGGGGGTAAAAATAAAATTTATCATTTTTTTTAGCATATACTTATTTTGAGCCAATAATAGTAATAAATTAATAATAAAACTATCTACAGTCTTTTTTTATTTTGAGAATAACTATAATTTCAATTTTTTACTGTTAAAAAAAAATCATTTTTTTGAGAGATTTCATTATAGACTTGATTAATAAAAGCAAGGATGAATTTACTGTTAAACTAAGCCTAGATATTTACATTTTATGCATCAAAAGTCTATTCGCTCTATAATAATGAGTTTTCTCAAATTATGATTTAAGACTTTTTTTTTATGCTGAATTAAGACGTTTGAAGTATATATTGCTTGAACTAAAATCTCACATGTCACGCTGAACTCCAATTACTTTTTGTTTCCTTTTTATTATCTTAAATTAAATAATGTCTAGAGAGGTTTGGTTCATAGATTAGAATCATTTTTTATTTACGTGTATTTTTTGTGAGAGAAAATACTGTAGCGAATCATGAGTCATGATTCAAATCATGATTTGAATTCTCTAACCAAGCCCGTTTGGTTCATAGATTAGAATCATGATATTAGAACCATTTTTTATTTACGTGTATTTTTTGTGAGAGAAAATACTGTAGCGAACTATAAATCATGATTCAAATCAGAGAACGAATCCTCCAACCAAACGGGCCTACGTGTTGACAACATTTTAAGTTTGAATTACTCACAGCTATCAAACAATCTATTTCATGAAGAATCCCATTTGCAACTCCGTTCATTTCGCTGATTCGAGTTTAGAATTCGAGTTTTGCTACAGTAAAAAGCTCTCAGAAACAGTCATATCTAACTTTTTACTACAGTAAAAAGCTCTCACATAACATCACATCTTAACTCGAATTAGTGAACCGAACGAGATATATTCTCTACCAAAATTACATGGATAACCACCTTCAACTCCCGTTAATATATATACATATTTTTTTGAAAGAACACCAAATAACTATTGGCTTTTTGGGCATTTCAATGAACAATGAGATGGAAAATGAATTCTTAATCAATCAAATTGCAGAAGGGTAAGATTCAGGAACCATCATTTTCAAGGCTTTAGTGCGTGGAGACGACTTTGTTCTGGAACAAGTAATTCACTATTTCACTTTCGCTCGTCAATATTTCAATAGCAAACTCCACTTCGTTTTGACTGCTGATTAAGATCAATTTTAGCTTGAATAAAAATTTCCAAAACAAGAATTAAATATAAGTAAAACATGCTTCAACGACCTTTAGAATAAGCTAAAAAGATGCTAGTATAACAATTTAACAGATACTTTACCAGACTCCTTTTTAACTTTAAAAAACACAAGCCCATATTTATAGAGCTTGGCATCAGATTAGCTGTCATATTGAAAGCAACAAGAGAGAAAGCAAGAGTGTGGTCAAAGTAACAAGCAAAAATCCAATCTTTATTAACAAGTAGCTACCAAGTGAATATCCTTTTGCATTCTAGTTGTCTTTTCCTGTTAACCATACACTCATCATCGCTCAGCTGACCAGTCCCAGGCACAATGTAGATAACTAAGATGGAGGAAAATGAGACGCAATAAAACTGATTCAGATTTCCGCTCGGAAAACAATGGACAAATCTAAGCTAGCAAGAAAGAACAATGGACTACAAGAGTAGTCTCACACAAAGTTTAGGGTGATTGCCAGTCTTTCCGAATATCGAACGTGTAATTGATCTCCAAGTAGCATTTCTTGTCGTCGTCGATAAACTGGAAACACAAGGAGAAAAAGGAAAAGGAAAAGAACATTCTGTTAAAAAGAAGGGAGTAAATTCAAAACTTGAAAACTCTGTTCCAACTGTAGAAAGTTTCAAAAAGATGGTCCACACATGGGTGGCCGGTGGCCCCAGCAAATTTGAATTCCAAATATGCGTTTGTAGTGCACATGGGTTTGTCAACAAATTGGTTTAGTGTGCAGTTTCCACATAAATCATGCAAGTGAATGAGCCATTGAACTTTCCTTCTCAACATTGTGGATGTGAACATGAATAAAACAGAAAACTACAACGTTGAAAAGCCATCATTCTTTTCATGAATTTGTTGAGAGCAATATGAATAAATCCATGAGCACAAACATACATTTCTAACTTGAGTACATCAAAATGAAACATAAGACAGTAATTGACCCACCTTGCTTCTAGCTGAATATGATCCTCTAGCAAAGATGCCAGATGGGGTTGTGTCTTCAGGCATCTCGTATGTGTAAGGCTCGGACTGAGGACTAAAAGTTCCAAGCATTTCCTTTGTGTTATCAACTGCAACAGTCATTCATGAAAAGAAAATATGAAATCCAACGATTGTAAGGCCTAGCAATGAGAGAGATTTTGTTACCTTTGACACCAGTTTTCCAGACCGTGTTAGTGTATTTGAGACCTGAAACAATGTTGTTGCAGACTTGTAAAGTGAACAACAGGCTGTAACGGCTACCTTCCTTCAAAGTAAACCATGAGCCTTTAGGAGTTCCATTCTCAGGAATTGTAAGGAAAATGTCCGGTCTACTGGGGGATTTAATTGCAAGGCTCAGGATCTTAACTTCTGGCTCGAGAGTTTCTGCATACATAACCCAAAACTGTTGCATTAGAAACAGATGAAATTGCTATTTCACTAGCTGAAAGAAATAGAAAGAATCTATATATTTGCATTACTTGAACAAGGTTTATCGAAAACGAAAGGTAGCAACCCTTGAGCCAAATTTATACACCATTTCGAAATTCCAAAATTTTAAGAACTCCCTGTACTTCCTATGTCTGTGGCTGTACTATTTACCCTCAGAAAAACTTACTTTCCTAACTTATTGAAACGGATAATGTAAAATATTTTTCATATATTCTAATGAAACCTGTTTCTATTCAGGAAAATTACAGCAAAATTCAAAATCTACCTTCCAAGAATTCAAAGAGAAGCTACAGTGTCATACTGTTCTGAGAAAGATTTCGACTTTAGCAATGAATAATGCATGAATAAGAACAATACTATGTAGCAAGGAAGCAGATTAAGGTCCTAATTACTAATACCCAAAATTTAATCTTTTATTGTTCCTCAAATTATAATTGATTACCTCCAACAGAATTCATGTCCACACTTCCAAGAAGCTGTTCCTTCCATCTCCTCAAACTCTCATCATCCTGAAACCTCAAATTTATCAGCACACGAACCAAAAAGAAAAAAGAAAGAAAAAACAGATAAACATTTCCGTGATAAAGAAAGAAGAGAACAAGAAACATTGAAACAATGAAGAAGATACAATAAAGACAAAAAATTTAAAATAAAAAAAAAAAAACCTTATCCTTTTCGAGTTGTTCCTTGAGAGTGAACTGTGGGCCCAACTCAATTTTCTTAGCCTCATCATCTTCATCATCCTCAGTTGCATATATGGAACTCTCACTCATTGTTCTGGTCATCCCGGTTGATTCCTCCACACTAGTTTCTTCATCCTGACCCTTTTCTGATATTCTCTTTGTTTCTTCATTCACACTGGTTTTCTCCACAGCTTCATTGTCGTTATCATCAAAACCCATTTTGTTGCTTTTGGAACTTGAAAACACTGCAATGGCCAAAGACATCAAACAGTGTTCTGTTTCTTTTTTTTTTTTTTGTATAGAGAATTAAGTACAAACTGAAAAATAACAGAAAGGGAAAGCCAAATACCCACTTTGTTTGGAGAATCTCTCTCTCTTACGAAAAACAACAAAAGAGAAGAAACCCAATAAGGATAACAATAGTATGATATTAAAAAAGAGAATTATTGGTACATCAAGAAAAAGAGACTCGGGTCAAAGAAACCCAAGAAAGGATAACCCTTGTAGCAAGAAAAGACACACAGAACAACAAAAAGAAGAGGAAAGAGAGAAAGAGAGAGAGGGATTGTTTTGGAAAGAATAAAGTTAAAGAGTAAAAGAAACAGTCATGTGGTGATCCGAAATTCTGATGAGAGAGAGAGAGAGAGAGAGAGAGAGAGAGAGGGAGAAGGGTGGGGAGATCGTGAAGGTCAGTCTTGCAGCACTAGCTTCCACGAAGACCAAGATTCGAGGAGAGCTTTTCGATTTTAGTTGTAAAATTCCATAACACACAAAACAGACGCATCAGATGAGACAGCCTAGTGTTGGGTGGACCTACGATGCCCTTTGACTCTTTCTTATATTTCTAATCGGGATTTCATAATTAAACATATAATTATTCCCTTTGAGAGAATTACTGAAATTATCTCGAAAGGATATGATGTAGATTTTTAATTTTTTCTTTGAATTAATTCTTTTTATTAATATAATATTTAATTAAAATTGTATTAATCAGTTAAGATAATTTTGATAAATATCTCTTAAAATGATATCATTAAAAATTTTTAGGTCTCAATATTAACCTATTAATTTTTGTCTAATTGGAGTAAATAATTTGACAGATTATTATCGATAATTTGACCGATGTTGCCAACGGCGGGTCTCCAGTCGCCCGCTGGTAGCGAGCATAATTCAACATATTATTATCTAAAATTTGACAAATTATTATTTATAATTTGACAGATTATTATCAAATGAGTAGTCTATCACAACAAAAGAGTAGAACTAAAGAATGATGTGTTTAAGGGCCATTTTTTACAATTTTTCTCAATAAAAAATAAGATGTAAAAATCAAGGTTAAAAAAAAGATTATTTATCTCATTTTCCCTTATCCTATTACCGTTGTGGTAATTATGATTCTTATAACATGTTAAAGTTTGCAATGATTTTTTAGCAACAAAGAAAATATTTATACTTGTAAAATTTCAGTTTTTATGTGATTTTTTTATGATCTATGCTAATTAAAAAAATTGTTAATTTTAATGTTAAGAGCTAAAAGTAAATAAAAAATCAAAATTTTAAAAAATAGGAGATCAGAACGGCATAATATTCATAATCTAGGGATTAATATTGCCAATGCTTTTAATATTATTTGTTCTTGCTCCTAGTATCATACCTCCTTTCCATTTCCAAGATCCAAGAGTTTTTCATTGTGAATACTGAATAGGCAATTTGCCAGCAGATAAAATGTAAGTCTTTCTTTTTGTTATCTTCTCTCGTACCTTTAAATCTTTGCATCGTTAGAGTGCAAATTCAAAACTTCTTAAACCCCTATTGGCAATTGCTATTCTGATGAAGGCTAGACATCATAAACATAAAAGCTTGTTGCCCTCAATTTTGCATGATTTTATTCCTGAATTTAGCGGTTAATAATTTGAATGAAGTAATCCTGAATGGTTCAATTATTGAGATGCAAATTAAGTTAGATAATGGGGTCCACAGAATGATTAAGAACATGAGGCAGCTGAACCATAATGTGGGTATATTTATTTTGTTTTGGTGCATGAACAAATATATTCAATAGAACTAAATAGATTGCCATTGCATGAACTATTATTTTATTTGGTAGGTCACGCCATTTTAATGATTTGAGAGTTATGGCGGAGTTTTAAGTATGTTATCCCATTATTGATTCACATAGCACCAAGTTGAGGAGGGACAAAGAGAGTTGATTATGCCTATTTGAGACTCTGAATTTTACATCAATTCCTATTTTACCTTCCGGAAAAACTTTAATAGGATGTTTGTTTTAAAGGTTCGTTTCTAGTTCTGAATCATGATTCTTAGTTCTCTACAGTGTTTTTTTCTCACAAAAAATTTGAATTTAAAAAATCAAAATCACGAATCATGGTTCTGAAATTAAGAACCAAACGTCTCATTATTAGTCTCGTTAAACCTTTCTCGTGGAGAAAAACAAAGATAGTATAATGTCAACACAAAAGATGAACCATTTCATTTTTTTTTGGGTCAAAATATGAAATGTATATTTTGTTAACTAGTGATTAATGGCTGCTTATAGTAGAATTACAGTCAAATCTATGTTTAGCATCTTTGTTTAGGTTACCTTTGTTTTAACAGAAATTCTAAGAGGATTAAGTAAGACTAATTTACTCCGAGCCCCCCCCCCCCCCCAAAAAAAAAGAGACTAGTTTAAAATTTGTAGTAGTTAAAGTTAAAGTTATCAAAGATCATGGACAAAATCGAAATAAATGTAAAATATGAAGTTTGGGAACACAAATAAGAGGAAGAAGAGAAAACCCATGAGAAAAACTAGTTTGTTTTGAAGAAGGTTTTTGTGAGGTAAATATGGGGCTAGGAGACCCCACGTGAGTCCAAGGTTTATATGGTTATCAATTGACGGATAAATGTCTCACTGGGGTCTTGGTGGCAGAAGTCTCTCCAGTCCCTTCTATAAAGTGAAGAAATACCAACAAATAAATGGAATCTAGTTATCAAACGCAAATGAATTTAGGGCCAACTTCACTTCTTTTCCTGTTTTCACTTTTTGTCTTACTACTGGTAGCTGATTGGTAGAGATGGCTAGAAACGGCAATACAGCGATGGGCGGACACATGCATGACCCTCCGCTAAATTCAAGTACACTTTTCGCCTTGCGTTTAGTTAATATATTCGTGCCATGATTTAAATCATGATTCATAATTCACTACAATATTTTCTCTCACAATAAATACGTAAATCGAGAATAGTTCTGAATCATAATTCTGAATTCATGAATCAAACGTTAAATCATAGACGATTGAAGTTGAACTAGTGGTACTGACACTGCCATTGCAGCATCATATGCCATAGTCTACTCAATGTTTATGGGACTCATTTGAGGACCACCACATGGAAACAATAAATTTTCTGAAAATTCTCAACACTCAACAATAAGACATCACTGCAAACAAGGTAACCTGGAGAAATATGCTAGAATGACTATCCAACAAAGTGAAATTGGTAAAATGACCTACTTCATTTTTTATTAAGAACGACCACCCGGTCGTTCTTTGTAAAAAGTGGTGGTCGTTCCGTAGTCATTTTGCAAATAAAAATTTTTGAAAAGTTATTTTACTAATAAAACTTTTCTATTGAGTTATTTTTACAAAGGCCTCCCCAATAGGCCAAAAAGTACAGGCTTAAAAGGGTTACTGTAATTGCAAAAGAAAAACAAAATTGAATACAAAATAAATAGAAGTCTATGACATGAAGTATGAAGATCAATCGAGGCATATGCGAAGTTGGGTTCACTATCAACTTAAACACAACCAACAAAGATTGGGAGGCAAAAAGCAACAATCAAGATTTTTCAGCTTCAACCTTCATAATACAACGGAAGAATGTAAAACAAGAAACAAAATAGTCACTCGCTTCCCCATTTCCTTGATACACTCTCTTTAGCAGAGACACGACTGTAGGCTTCATTTGACTTAATTTCGGAGTTAATTAAACTATGTGGTGATGTCTTCCCCAAGATTTTAGATGTTACAAAAGTGAAACCATTTCTTGTGCCTCTCAAAGCATACAGCAAGGGATTGAATATGACAGCAAGCATCACTTCTCCTTTTGCAACTATAAGATACTGGAAAATAGAGCATAACAATATGAGACACAGATCATACTCCTATGTTTTACAGTTAATCATTCATGATTTATTTGATTACAAAAGTATGATTTTTTTTTCTTTTTCTTTTCTTTTGGGGGGTGGAAAATTACAGAAGACTCAATTGCTTACCATGATAACAATCCCTAACACGGCAAGACTCGTTTGTTGTGCTTCTTGCCAAAAATTATCATCATTCGACCATCCAAACCATCTACCAGACCCGAACCAACCTCCTCCACCAGCACCACCACCTCCGCCTGCTTCCTCTCTTCTCTTAATTTCTTTGTTCCACTTCTCGAATTCATTTTTCTTTCCACCAAGTGCGCCTTCTAAAGCTTTCCTAGCTTGTTCCTGCAACCACAGAGCAAGTTTCGCTAAATTGAAGTCTTCTATGCCATTAAATGCTGACTAATTTACCTCACTAGCCCCAAAATCTCAAGTTTTCTTCCAAATCAACATTGAGGCACCTGTGACTATAATGCATGTTAGGTAACCTTACCCTCAGGAAATGTTTTGGTGTATTCTACTACATGAGAAAGAGAAGATCAAGAGAAGCCTTTTTAGGTCTCCTAGATACCCCTTTACAAGCCTTACTTAATAGAAATATCCTTAGCATGTTGAAATGCAGATTTAACATTAACTACTATGAGTAGCCCCACTTCAACAAATTTTCAGGATAACTTGTGCATAGTACCTCAATGGAATTATAACACTCTGGAGTCAAAAATAAAAATGAATAATAGCATCCACTTAATTTTATTCCTATATCAATCTCTGCTAAATATTTTCCATGTGTTTCTCAAACAAAAAAAAAGAATGGAATTCAATCTGTACATTCATAAAACTGGACTAAGCAAAAACTGTCGGAAAGTAGAAATTTTGGTTTGCTAATTCTGTGTCATATTAGAACATCATCCAAAGAATAATATCCCATATAAGATAAGGTTGCATTAGTGACGGTTATATTGTTCAAATTCTTAAAATGAAAACTTAAACGGGAAAAATGAAAACTTCTAGCAAAACTCTAGTTTTTGGGACAAGCTTTAGCAACTTTAAACACTCATCGAGTCATTGTCCATTAACCTTAATCCCAAATAAAACTAACTGCCAATTTTTCCCAAAAAGGAGCTATTTTAACCCATATATTTTAGGTGTAAAACGTGAAACTTGGGTTCTTTTTGAAAAAATTGAACTTGATTTTTATTTTCAAGTCAATGGATGACGGCAGGAAAAAAAAAATATATCTATTGCGCATCAAAATCTTGCACATATTCAAAATTCCAAAGCAACCAAAAAGAAGATTCGAAAATAGGGGGACAGAAATAAAGAATTTTTAATGGATAAGAAATTTGAGTACCTCTCGGCGATTGTCTGAGAAAAGACAAGAAAACCTGGCCTGGCACTTGAGCTTTCGATGCAGAGCAGTCCAAATTTGGTTTGTATTTTGAACGCGACTCGACTCGATGAGTGGGTGACGAGTTAACTCGGACGAGTGAGAGGAGTTTGTAGTTGGCCGGCGTAGGTTCAGAACTAGCGCCATTGTCTTCGTCGCATCCCCCTTTGTCAGAAGAAGAAGACGAAGAAAAGCCCTCCATCTTGTTTGGATACACGAGTATGAGTTCGTGTTTTTTTTAGAAAACGACGTATCGTTTTAATTCAAAAGTTTAGTGTCGTTTTTAAATAGACAAAGTTTGTCCTTTACTGGTGTAACCACATATCATTTTTCTCGAATAAAAGCTTACTCTCGTTTATAATGAAACCACACGGTCATAAAAAAAATAATAAAAAAAATCTACAAATTCTATTTTGTTGTTGTTGTTGTTGTTGTTTTCCCACAGACTAAAGACCACATGTAGTTTATAGTTTATAGTTTATTGTCGTTCAAGAAAAAAACATCATATTGTTTTTCAAGGTTTTAACCGCATGTCGTTATGATTCAGGAATTAGATTTCCATAATGTTCAAAACTATGTCGTTTAAAACTAAAACTACACGAAGTTTGTATGTGTTAGGTTTAAAAGGACATGTCGTTTACGCTATGAAACTTTTGATGTCATTGAACATAAGACAACATGTCGTTAACCTTGTAATAGTTTTCCTGTCGTTGAAGTGAAAATGAAATGTGTGGTTTTTCATTTAACATCTCTGTCGTTAAGCCCCAAAAAACGACATATCGCTATTAGTAAACTACGGCCTCGTTCATTTCACCGATTTGAGTTTTCAGTTTTAGGTTTCTATAGTAAAAAGTTATCAGAAAATGTCACACCTAACTTTTTCTACTACAGTAAAAAGCTCTCATAAAATGTCACATCTCAACTCGAATTCGCGAAATGAACGAGGCCTACATGTTATTTATAAGATGCTTTAGAGGCATTTGGTTTATGGATTCAAAACTATAATTTAGAATCATTCTCAATTTACGTATATTTTTTATGAGAAAAAAATACTGTAACGAATAATAAATCATGATCTGAACCATAATATAAATATTAATTCCAAACGCACCCTTAAAATTTGAACCTTTTTACACCCTGCACCGAAAAGACCTGAATGGAACTTACGCACTTACAACATAATAAACAAAAGAATACATACATGCACGAAATATAAAAATGAAATGGAAAAGGTGTCACACATTCAAAAGAAATCGAGTTTACATCATACTTTTAACCTTTGTAAGGAGTTTCTGGCTGGCTAGATTAATCCAATGGTGTTTCTTTACATTTACAAATATAAAAAAAATCCAATCGTGTTATCTATTTGAAAAAAAAAAAAAAAAAAACCAACAACAACAACAAGAACAACGATTGTAGCATAAAGTGGTAGGTGAGAGAAAAACGTATAATAATTTCTCAGCCGTTCGATCAATAGACCTTTGCACAGCTGTACCGTTAACAACTTTCTGCAGTTGTTGACCAAATCCGCCAAATCTTATATCGAACGGTCCCTAGTCAAAGAAGAAACCATAATATTAAGTGACTAAATTGCCCTCACCGGCTCCCTCGGTTAAGATCCTTTTCGTCCAAGTTTTAAGGGTATTAAGGAGAATTCAATTCCTTTCTAGAACAAGAACGGTAGTTCAGTTAATTATTCCCACCATCATCCCGTAGCTCTATAGGTAAGGGACAAGACAGTTTTATTTCTGCTCACCGCTTTATCTTTATCTTTTATCGTTGAGCGGTTATCTTTATCTTTTTTTATCCTTTTCAATTTAAAAGATTCCCCTCAGCAATCATTTGTAATTACACATTTAACCCCCTCATCTTCGCCCATTATAGAGACAAAGGTCGAAAATTTTCAAGGGTAATTCTGTAGTTTCACTGACAAGACGGCTGGAGGGTAGGTCTGTAGCGAGGAAGGAAGAGGGGATACTGTATCCAATTTACGTTTCTACCTTTGCCTGTTTCGAAAAGAGCGGATAAAACCAGGGGTAGTATTGTCCCATTGGTTTCGGAAAACTACAAGGGATATTCTCGTAATTTCGGAATTATATAGACAGAGAGGTAGAGAGAGACAGAGAGGGGAAGAGAGAGACAGAGAGAGACAGAGAGAGCAGGAAGTTAGAGAGAGAGAAGAGAGAGCAGGAAGTTAGAGAGAGAGAAGAGAGAGAGAGAGAGAGAGACAGAGAGAGAGAGAGAGGGGCGTTTGAGTCCGTTTTTTCGGTTAATATATGAAGGTGAAGCCATGGTGTCGGACCAGGAAATAGCGAAAGGGGTAGAGTCGTTGCTTCGTCAGTCGGACCCTAACGCCGTAACCACCCTAAACGGCGTCGTTCAGCAGCTGGGAGAGAAGCTAGGGTTAGACCTCACCCACAAGGCCGGGTTCATCCGCGACCAGATCAACCTCCTCCTCCGTTCCCAGCCTCAGCCACAGCCCCAACAATACCATCCCCCAAAAGACCATTTTGCCCTCCATTCCCACCCCCAATACCCCACCGCTCTCCACCCCCAACAATTCCCTTCCCATTTTGCCCTCAACCCTTACCACCACCACCACCACCACCACCACCACCAGCCGCCGTCCTCCGCGCCGCCTCCGCCGCAGCCCTTCCCCGCTGCTCAGGTGCATGTGCAGGTGCAACCGCAGTCGCAGTCGCAACCGCAGTCGCAGTCGCAACCACAGTCGCAGCCGCCTCACGGGCCGACCAAGTCTGAGATTTTCTCCCACAATGCCTCTTCCGCCACCTCCGATATCCCTAAAGAAAGGTTTGCTTTTTTTCTTTTCTCCAGCTTCATGCTTTTATAATTTATTATAGTTATGTGTATCTATTGACGTTGTTTTTACTGTTTTTCGTTTTTCCTGTTTTATTCTCAAATGCTTTTCGTACTAAAGTTATTGTTTTTTACATCTTTATTTTACCTATTCGAATTTCTAGATTTTTAAAATTAAAATTTTTTTAAAAAATATCATATTTAATTTTTCTGTTATAGTACTTTAGGGTTAAATTTTAAATTTTTATTTTGGCTGGTACTTCCGAACTAGTTTGGGAGTTTGCTTATTGGGGATCATATTGCTGTTTTGTTGTTCAAATTGTTTATGTTTTAGCGTTTTTTTCTGCTGTTCTGTTCAAGTCAAATTTATTTGACTTTCAAAAATTTGAGCCCAAGAGAATGACCCCTTTGCTGGAAAGAAAACATGTTTTTCTTCCCTGTATCCGCTTCTTTAAAATAAAATGGAATTTTCAACGTTTGAAAGCTACTGTTTGAATTTAAAGAAAAAAAAAGGGTTCTCGTCATTTTCTTTTTGCCAAACTGGTTAGACTATTGTTTTGAAGCTGATGTACTCTGAAGGAATAATTTAGGATTATTCTTGCTAATGGTACTTTTTATTTATTATTTATTTTATTTCTTCAAGCTAGTCATACTATTGTTACTGATGGCGTGAGCATAAATTTATGCAAAAAAAAAAAAAAAAAAAAAAAAAAAACTTGGTTTAAAAAAAAAAAAAAAAAAAAAGCTTGGCTATAGTTTTTGTTAAATTTTTACTGAAAATTTTTATGGATTTTGGGTTTCGGCTAGTTAATAAGCATTAGAGTTTAGACAATAGCTAGTAGTGAGTCCCATGGTGTATCTAGTTGAGCTTTTTCCCTTTTCCCAAGGTGTATTTAGTGGTATTGTTGTGCTTTCCTTGGTTATTTCCATTTCACGGTAGATTCCAGTACTCAAACTAATATCAGATATGATATTCAGTTATGTTGGGTTTTATCACCTTGGTATTTCTTTACATTGTTGGGGCTATTTTCAAATTGCCTGCATTAATCATTCAGATATGAGCATCTTATTGAAGTTTTTTGTAAGAGATATTCGATTGTATGTGGTGTTTTTCACTTTCATGTTTATGGATCACGTATTTTGTTTGTGTGCGTTACATTTCGTTTTTTCAGTACTCCTGTTGGAGCCAAAAGAAGAGGTGGGCCGGGCGGGTTGAACAAAGTCTGCGGTGTCTCACCTGAGCTTCAGGCCATTGTTGGCGAGCCGGCATTGCCAAGGACCGAGGTTATATTCCCAGATCTTCTTTTTAGGCTACTTCTTTTCTTTCTTACTTCTTCTGGTGTGCTGCTAGTTCTTCAGTGTTTTGTAGACCTTCAATTATGTTTTTCTTGTTTCAGATTGTGAAACAGCTCTGGGCATACATAAGGAAAAACAACCTCCAAGATCCCAGTAACAAGAGGAAGATAATTTGTGATGACGCCTTGCGGTTGGTATTTGAGACAGACTGCACTGACATGTTCAAGATGAATAAGCTGCTAGCGAAACATATTATTGCCCTCGAACCTACCAGTATGTAACGTGGAGTAAATTGAAATTCGCTTTTGTGATAGAATATCTTTGATTAAGGAATTAAAATTTATTGTATGCAGAGGGGTCAAGTCAAGCTAAAAGAGTGAAGGTAGATGTCGAACCCACACCCGTAAGTAACGACAACAGTTCGTCTTCTGTTGTAATCTCTGAAGAACTTGCAAAGTTTTTGGGAACAGGAGAAAAGGAGATGATCCGTTCTGAGGCGCTAAGACGTGTTTGGGAATACATAAAGGTTAACCATTTGGAGGTAGGTAGCCGAGCCGCTTAATCCTGCCCCCTTGCTTAGAGTTATTGGGCTTGAACTTGGGATTTTCTGTTTTATTTCCTGTTATACAGTGTAAATGTGTTTTGGAAATTATAACTTTTCAGTGATTTGGTTGTGCTTTTTAGGATCCTCTAAATTCCATGGTGATATTATGTGATGCAAATCTTCGTGAGCTTCTTGGATGTGAAAGCATTTCTGCACTGGGGATTTCGGAGATGGTAGCACGCCATCATCTATTCCAACGCTCTTGATGTCTAATAGCAATTGGCAGTTGACTAGTTGGTATAAACTCCGTTTCTCTTTCTTGATTTAGTTTTTAGTTTTCAGATTTTGATGGAGTTAACCCGCTTTTCAAATCAGTTTACTCTCTTTTTTTCTTTCTTTTGTAGGTACAAGAGACCTTTGCCACCTGGTCTCTTCTTATGGTAGAGAACATAGGAAAGAACCCTTTTTTTTTTTTTTTTTCGTTCGTTAATTTATAGACTTGTTTGACATGAAATAGCTCTGATATGTTGGTTTACATCACTTGCTTATTATGTTTAGAATCAAAGGTTAATGGCAAGGTGTTTATTGCCATTACCATGGGTTTAGGTTATCTGGTTCTTTTCATGAGGTTACTACTCGCTTTCTGATGATATGCCTGACCTCAGAAAAAACTGTGACAGAATGATAAATACTCTGTACAGACTGGAAGGACCATTCTGTGTATCTTGTTAGTTGACAGCAGCTGTTGCTTTTGACTGCGACCTTAATGTATCTTTTCGAACGGCAACAACTAATGCTTTTTAGCTACATCTTTATTCATTTTATATTTGGGTGGCAAATCATCTCTAGCCAATGGCTTGCTTGTTTGATGATAGCATTTCCTACTAGTGCAACTATCTATACAGTGAACGACATTACAGATTTTTGTCTAAATATAGACTCTTATTTGTAATAAGATGTAAGTAATGGACGCTTCTCGTGGATTTTCATAACTCTACTCTGTGAAAATAGGATATGAAATTTGAAATGGGTGCCTGAGTTATATTATGGCCTTGTTCACTTCGCAGATTCGAGTTAAGATGTGACATTTTGTGAGAACTTTTCACTGTAGCAGAAAAAATTAGATGTGACATTTTCTTAGAGCTTTTTACTGTAGAAATTTAGGTCCCGTTCATTTCGCTCATTCGAGTTTAGAATTCGAGTTTTGCTACAGTATTAGCTCTCAGAAACAGTCACATCTAACTTTTTTGCTACAGTAAAAAGCTCTCACATAACATCACATTTCAACTCGAATTAAAAACTCGAATGAGCGAACTAAACGAGCTCTTAGAACTGAAAACTCGAATCGGTGAAATAAACGAGGTCTATATATATTATGAGCGATATGCCAATGAATTAAATAATCTCTTTCTTTGTTTAAGAAAAGGTATTTCTCATTTGCATGGTTCAATCATTGATTTCGAAGATTCTTACAATAAAATTAGATAAGTCATTACTATAGTTCTCTTCTTATGATTCTGTTATTTAGTGAAATAATTTTTCTCGAATATTGAAGGAATCCCCTGGGTGGGTAGAATAAAGAAGTACAATTTTAACTGTTTTTAGAAAAATGGAGTTTATTAAGATTTCTACAACGCATCCATCCAGTTGAAAGGCTCAACTGTCTTGCTAGAATGTGATCAAATATTTTCCATGTTGTCATTTGTAAAGGCAAAATCTGTACTACAGTTTTAGCAAAGACGCCCAAAAAATTCCAAAATTTATTCACACTCTTCAGCAGGAGAAAAGAGGCTCTCTGAATAGTATGCGGTACACAAATTGCATCTGCAAAGCTTTATAAAGAGAAGTTGAACAAGAATAGAAGGGCAACCATGACAAAGAGTGTAAGCATAATAGATCTCTTGTTATCTCTGAACATTCGGTTGGAACTCATCTTGTTCATTACAATCATCACATATCCTATAATTTTCTGAAAGAAAAAGAAGAAGCAAACAATATAAACAACTAATTTCTCGGATATTACAAAATTAAAAGGGGAGAAAAACGTAAAGCCATAGTCTGCAGACAACATACCAGTCTAAAGGGTTCGATATGAAGGAGCGGTTCCAAGAACATCTCTACATTTCTGGATAAAAAAGAGAGAATAAAATAAATTGTGTTACAGTCTAGAATGCATGTTTGGATCAACTTAGGACAACAATTTACTCTCAAAGTTCTAATGAATTATGCTGTGGTTACATAGAACAATGTTTGAACTCTCAAGGCCATAAAACTTGAGCACCTTATTACCACCTTCCCATGATAAACATGGCACATATAGAAGCTGAAGCCCTTTCCTAGAGGCGCATGTGTTTTGCTGCACTCTGCGAAAAAAAAAAAAACACCGACGAGATTGCGTAAAAGCGTTAGAATCCAAAATGTCAATCTGTCCTTGAAACACAGAATTTTGATTTCATTCTTAACGAGTGCATACGCAATCTCCATTTTATGCCAACATTCATCCCATCATGCATTGTTGGTGTCACAACAAACTCTATGCTATTCCCCAAGCGTCTGATCAGATATGAGAAAAAATCCAACACTTGCTGCAATGGATCAACAAAATCATCGGTAAAATTATAACCATTTTGAATTTTTTTTTTTTCCTTCCTTTCAAAACTTAGAAACAAGATTTGAGAAAATAGGCTTACCTTCTTCCCTTTGAAGGTTTGGAAATTTGAGAAAAAGTTACACGCACATTGACATTCATCTCCTATTATGTCCGACAATTCGGGAACATTTTTGTTCTTGATCGCGTTGTAAAGTCTGAGGACTGTTTCCAGAGCTCGGGAGTCTTCTTCTCCTGGCTCCGAGTTCTTAGCACTGAATGGCACCAGCAATGATCCCGTCTGCCTTGGAGAAAAGCTTGTGTATGTTAAAGCAAAAGGTTGGTAAGAAAATGGTGGGTGATTATTATAATAGCTAAGAGCATAGGCTTTATAATTGTAATTTCTGTGAGAAGGATTATGTGAAGTGATGATAGCTTGATATGTGTATGAAAGAGAAAGTGAGGATCGTCCAATGGTGGGGAAAGAAACCAAAGCCATTTCAAAGTTGTAGAAGATTTGTTTGAGGCTTAAGAACTTATAAGCAAGTGATACAATTAAAGTGGTTTTTGCTTTGCTTTGCTCAGGTGAAGAGAGAGTAGGAAAGCAGAAGAAAGGAATGAAGCAAACTTCATTGTCAAGACACAAGCAAAGGAATAAGGATTCTTCTTCAGTAGAGTAGCGCTAGAGCAAGAGAGGATCCACACGTGATACATTAATCTTGATTAGACTTTTGCTTTGTTTTGTTTTCTCTTTAATCATTAAAATTTTTCATTAGACATGCTCAACTTTTAATCACGTAAATTATTAATTCTTAAATGATTGAAAAATGATATTTTTAGTTACTTTTTAAAAAAAGATTATTTTTGTTATGAATAGTAGCTGTTCACCCTAAAGTTACTAGCAACTCAGTTAAAATTATTGTCTTATTATACAAATAGTAACTATAAATAGTAAGTACTTTGTAAATAATAACTATAAATAGTGTCAAAAAGTTTCCTAAATAGAACTGTAAGACTTTTTATTTTATATACTTTTATAAGATTAATAAAACTCTCTCTCTCTAATTTCTCTCTCTAAAGTTTTTCTTCTTAATTTTATATTTCCTTAATTTTCATAATAACTTCTGCATATATCCTTAAAATTAATCCCCTAACTTTATATTTGCTTATAATTAGTATGTGTTAAAATTCAAGTGGCGTAATAACATATGCTCTATTTCCTTTCTTTTCCTAAGTCCGTTTATTTATCAACTTACTCTAAATTTCAGTGATTTTTTTTTTAAAGAGAGTTTCTCTCGTAGGATAAGAAAAAGAAACTATTAGTAGTTTTATTTTTTTTAATCGCTTTCAACTGTTAGGTTTGTATTAAAAACTGTCTATTATGTATACTTTTTTAATTTTATTTAATTTTGATTAGATCTAATGGTTAAAAAATAAATTTTACCGACATGACGGTCTATTGAAGATATTACCTTTTTTTAAACTATAACATGAAAAAGAGATATAATATATGCTTTTTTGATAGGGTATATAACCGTAACAGTATTTAACACATTTTCTTTTGGAGTAAAGCATACAGTACTTTTTATTCTTAATATATATATATTTTTGCACATTAAATTTCACTTACATAAAAACATAACAGAAAGTTATTTCAAACAAGAACAAAGGATTTCAACACTAATGCACACACAGTTCCTAGTGTTTCTAGAAATTTCCATCACATTTCTGATTTCCTGTTATTTCATTTTTAGTTTATTTTTTTCCTTTTCATTTTAGTTTATTTTTTCTAAGTATTAGCAGACACTAGACACTGCATAACTATTCTACACCCTTCCATTGGCCCCTTCCCCAAGCTTCCATACCACCTTCTCCATATATCTCTATCTCTCTGAAACCACCAAAAAACGCAGGAAAATCCCTAATTGCTGTTTTGCTAGTTGCTCAAATGGCGACAAGGAAAGCTTCGAGGCTCGCCAAGTCCGCTCTAGCCGCCATTAACGCCTCCAAAACCTCCACAACCTGTGCCCCTCCCGTAGCCTCTCGCGCCCGAGCAGTCGCCGCTGGTTCTGGTTCCGCCTCGGCCAGGTCCGTCACCTCCATTTCTCGAGCTCAGATTTCCGACATAATCGCCGACCAAAACGATGTCGTTTCGGCGAAGCCTTCGTCGAACGTCTTCGCTCGCAAGTTTCACTCTTCCTCTCCGCTGTACTATTCCGCGACCAGCTCTTCTCAGGTTTCGAAAGAAAATACGTGAATCATTGATTTTAAGTTTGCGTATAAAATGAAATGCATGAATTTATGAAATTTTCGCTTGTTCGTGTATTTGTTTCAGATAAGTCAAAATGAGTTCACTGAGATGGCGTGGGAAGGCATCGTCGGTGCCGTCGACGCCGCGCGAGCGAGCAGACAACAGGTGGTTGAATCCGAGCACCTGATGAAAGCTCTTCTGGAGCAAAAGGATGGATTGGCGAGAAGGACTTTCGCAAAGGCCGGGGTTGATAACACCTCGGTTCTCCAGGCAACTGATGATTTCATATCGAAACAACCAAAGGTATGTGCTTTGATCGACAATTTCTTGTGGATTTTGTGGGACGGATGATTAATTGTCTGGTTTTTGCAGGTAATAGGAGACACTAGTGGCCCTATAATGGGGACACATTTGAGTTCCGTTTTGGACAATGCGAGGAAGAATAAGAAAGAAATGGGAGACGATTTTGTGTCGGTTGAGCATCTTTTGTTGGCGCTTCAGTCGGATAAGAGATTCGGTCAACAGTTGTTCAAGAACCTTCAGCTTAGCGAGAAGGATTTGAAGGATGCAATTCGTGAGGTTCGCGGGAGTCAACGGGTCACTGATCAAAGTATGAACTGCCTCTCGTACGCTTTTGTGTAAGAGAGTTTTGAGGTCTTGTTTTCACGAAAATTGCTAGGAAATTCGTTAGAACTTTTAGTTTTATTTGTTACCAATTTTTTATTTTTTTTCCGTATATTTAGACCCTGAAGGAAAATATCAGGCATTGGAAAAATATGGGGTTGATTTGACTGAGCTTGCTCGGCGTGGAAAACTTGATCCTGTTATTGGTCGAGATGATGAAATACGGAGGTGCATCCAAATTTTGTCTAGGAGAACGAAAAATAATCCTGTTATTATTGGGGAGCCTGGTGTGGGAAAAACTGCAATTGCTGAAGGGTATACTGTCTATTCTATCTATAATATACGTATAAATGCGGTAATTACACACACACACACACACATACATATATGTCTTCAATTCATATAGGAACATCCTTTGTTTATTTTTTTCAGATTAGCTCAACGGATTGTGCGTGGAGATGTTCCTGAACCATTGCTGAATCGAAAGGTCTTAACACTTATATAACGCAGTTATTCCATTATTTTAGGATTAAAAGTTTGGGTTTTTTCTGTTTTGTTTCTTTTCTTTATTTTTTCCCTGTTCTGTTGGTTATTTGACGGTCCCGGATTAGTGTGTATGGTTAGTATAGTTTGTCATTCTTCCAGTTGTTTCAGAATAACGAGGTTTTGCTTAAGACTTGGTTTGGTTTAGGGATGATTTTCCATTTAGTGTATCCGTCTTTAATGTAGCTCAAATATTAAGATATGTTCACATTTGTATTTAAGAAACTGTATTTTATATTATATCATGCAGTTGATCTCTCTAGACATGGGTTCATTAGTTGCTGGTGCCAAGTTTCGAGGAGATTTTGAGGAAAGGTTGAAAGCTGTTCTTAAGGAAGTCACCTCTTCCAACGGACAATTCATACTATTTATTGATGAGATTCATACAGTTGTTGGTGCAGGTGTGTGTTCTTTCTCTGTAAAGAAGTTTTAATCCTGTTGTGGGGAGTCTAGCCTCTTTCTTTTATTTATTTATTTTTTTCCCTTTTTTCCCCCTCTTCATGCTCAGTGCTTCGTACGATCACGTTGTCCTAGTGGTGAAATCAGTATATCATACACGGATATGTTGAACAATTAATTTGTCATACGTTGTGCTTATTTCCATTTTGAATTATCTAGTGCAATGTATAAATTTATATTATTCCACTTTGGGTTTAGAGATAAACAGTCGTAGATTTCATGTGTTAGTAAGAGCTTGTGATCTAATCATTTATCTGTATTATCGAGTAAGAGCTTGCGATCTGATCATTTGATAGTATTGTTGAAGAGGGAAGAAACGTATTTAGGAAGGCATACTCTTGGGTGAATTATTGATGACACAATAAGGTTTTATGGTTTGAATTTCATATGACATTTCTATTGGTGTTCTCGGACCAGCATTGGATTAAATTTAGTACAAGCAACATGTGCATATGATAATGTTGTTGATAATTACTTTCTAGGGGCAACTGGTGGTGCAATGGATGCTGGGAACCTGTTAAAACCAATGCTTGGACGAGGGGAACTTCGATGTATAGGAGCAACAACTTTGAATGAGTATAGGAAATACATTGAGAAGGATCCTGCTCTTGAGCGTAGATTTCAACAGGTATTTTGTGACCAACCATCAGTTGAAGACACAATATCCATTCTTCGTGGGTTGCGCGAGCGCTATGAGCTGCATCATGGTGTTAAAATATCAGATAGTGCACTTGTTTCAGCAGCAGTGCTTGCAGACCGATATATCACTGAACGATTTTTGCCTGACAAAGGTATATAAGAACTTAGTTATTCAATGATAGAAAGGTTGAAAGTTCTTTCCACGTATTGGGTATTTGATTGTGATACCATTTTCTATTTTACACTCAGCTGTACCTGGCTATGTCTCGATGCTGTTTTCAATGTCGTAACATCAATGTTTTCTTTCAGCCATTGATCTTGTTGATGAGGCTGCTGCTAAGCTGAAAATGGAAATTACTTCTAAGCCTACCGAGTTGGATGAGATAGACAGAAGCGTGTTAAAGTTGGAGATGGAGAAGCTATCCCTGAAGAATGACACTGATAAAGCATCCAAAGAAAGGTTAAGCAAGCTGGAACATGATCTAGAATTGCTTAAACAAAAACAGAAAGAGTTAAATGAACAATGGGAGCGTGAGAAGGTTCTCATGAATCGAATAAGATCAATTAAAGAGGAGGTACTGTGTACTATTTAGCTTGGTTGTAAAAGTTTGTCTTTGAATTGCCCTAAGATATCATCTCCTAATTTAGGAGTGCTTATTTTCATTTTGCAGATTGATAGAGTTAACCTGGAGATGGAAGCTGCTGAGCGCGAATATGACCTAAATCGTGCTGCAGAGCTCAAATATGGAACTTTAATTTCTCTTCAACGCCAGTTAGAAGAGGCTGAAAAGAACCTTGCTGAATTCCGAAAGTCTGGTAAGTCCTTGCTTCGGGAAGAAGTTACTGATCTTGATATAGCCGAAATTGTAAGCAAATGGACTGGTATACCGCTGTCGAATCTCCGACAATCTGAGAGAGAGAAGCTAGTCATGCTTGAAGAGGTTCTCCACAAGAGGGTGGTTGGTCAAGATATGGCAGTGAAATCAGTTGCTGATGCAATTCGACGTTCAAGGGCGGGATTGTCTGACCCTAACAGACCAATAGCCAGTTTCATGTTCATGGGTCCTACTGGTGTTGGAAAAACAGAGCTTGCAAAGGCCTTAGCTAGTTACCTTTTCAACACAGAAAATGCTCTTGTCAGAATTGATATGAGCGAGTACATGGAGAAGCACGCAGTTTCGCGCTTGGTTGGGGCGCCTCCGGGTTATGTTGGTTATGAAGAAGGTGGGCAGCTGACAGAAGTGGTTCGCCGAAGACCTTATGCTGTTGTACTTTTTGACGAAATAGAAAAAGCGCACCATGATGTCTTCAACATTTTGTTGCAACTGTTGGATGATGGAAGAATAACTGATTCTCAGGGACGGACCGTGAGCTTCACAAATTGTGTTGTAATAATGACATCCAACATCGGTTCTCACTTGATACTCGAAACCCTTCGCAACACCCAGGACAGTAAAGAAGCAGTTTATGAAGTGATGAAAAGGCAAGTTGTTGAGTTGGCTAGACAAACTTTTCGCCCTGAATTCATGAACCGAGTCGACGAATACATTGTCTTCCAGCCTTTGGACTCCAAAGAAATCAGCAAAATTGTGGAGATACAGGTGATTCTTTCGACTTCATCTTACGAATAGCGCGTCTTGTTTTTTGTATATATCTAGTAAGAAACATGGTAACATCTTTTGTTTTGTGACCCAGATGAACCGGTTGAAGGAGAGGCTGAGTCAGAGGAAAATTGAGCTTCATTACACAAAAGAAGCTGTTGAACTTTTGGGAACACTGGGATTCGACCCGAATTTCGGAGCAAGACCAGTTAAACGAGTTATACAGCAGCTCGTTGAGAATGAAATTGCAATGGGAATCTTGAGAGGTGATTTCAAGGAGGAAGATTCGATTATCGTTGATGCTGATGTGTCGTCCAAAGACCTTCCTCCGCATAATAGATTGCACATCAAGAAATTGGAGAACGGCTCTTCTATGGATGTCTTGGTTGCCAATGACTGATCTGAGAGCAATTTTGTTTTATATTACAGAAGTACTTTTGGTTTTGTGTAAAGTTGGGCTGTGACTGCATCTGGAGAACTACTTTTTTTTTTTTTCATTTTTGCTTTGGGATGAAAAGGCATTCATTAACTAAACGAAGAGGATGACAGAAAATGTAGGCTGAGCAAAAGGAAAGCACCAAATTCCGAACTGGAGGAAGAAAAGAAAGACTTAAAAAAGTTGCAGAATTATGCTTGAACCTATCTATTTCTATTCCTCTTTCTTCTCACACACACACACACAAACCATCTTAATAGTAGCAAAGGATTTGTATATAGATACTTGTACATAAAATAAAACTAGCAGCAAACGATTTGTATGTGGGGTGTGCATATAAATTATGTATACACTAGGGCCATTTGCAAATTGAACCTTGAAACAGCGACGAATCGAGGAAAAAAAAAAAAAAAAAAAAAAAAAACTTGATGTTTTCAGGCGTAATGAAGAGAACGCCTCCATCACTCTTATGGTAAAAGTTAGGATTAGGGAGTCACCCTCTTGTTCCCCTGGGAAAAAAAAAAAAAAAAACTAGGGCAATTAGTTTTTTCTTATTATTTTTTATTCACACGATAGTTTTTCAAGATGCATAATTTTATGATATTTTGTTGCAACATTTTTGTCCTTCAAAGTGATTCTCATGATATGTCACCTTTATCATAAATCTGTTATATTTATGATAACTAATGATCACTTGTGTCTATTGCACATAAATGTTGTTAACTTTTTCAAATTTTAATCTTGTGTTGTTATCATAAGGTTGCAATTCTTTTCTTAAAGTTATTTTGTTGGCTTTTGGTAAATAAACCGGGGTTTTTTTTTTTTTTTTTTTGAAAGAGGAATTATATTCAACTAACTAAATAAAAGAAATAACCACCACTACGAATGACTCAGTGATACACGAGAAGTAAGAACCCAACCATGTGTCCAGATTTCTTTAGAATAATAAGAAGAAAAGTTTAAGCAAGCAACTAACAAATATTACAAGGATCCAAGGCCATGAGGAAAAAAAAAAAGAAAAAAAACCCTAAGCAAAACTCCAAAGCAATCCCTAAAATTGTAACCTGCCCATTTTTGTCACTTAAATCACTTCTCATTTCGAGCTAAAGGCTATGATCTTCTACAAATATCGAGATTCACCAGATAAACTCCTTATATTGCACTATATGTAAATATGGTTATAATCATAAATACTACAACTTTATGATAATGTTCACCGTGGTGATCAACAATACAACAACAAAAACTTTATAAAAATTAACAAATAGGAGCATATATAATGATTGTGACCTTACGAAATAAGATTAAAAACTACAACACCCATGTTATACAGTCCTCACTTGAGAAAGAGAAGGATCGTAAAAGGAAAACTAGAAAAATGATATTCAATATTTTTGTGAGGATAGATCTCCACCACTTACAAAAAAGTGGGTCACACTAGATTGAATCCCACCTATCCACCTAATGGGATCCACCTTATGTAAATAGTGGGATTTTACCCTATGGAGATGAATAGAAGTTCGTCAAAAACTAAGGGCTTGTTCTTTTAGAGTTTAACTTGAGTATAATTCTTGAATTGAATTTGAGTTATAACTTGAGTTGAACTTGTAACTTGAGTTTGTGTTTGGTTGTGTACATTTGAGTTATGGTTTGAGATAAGAATCTTTTTGAGTGAGTCAAAACTTGAATTTGTATTTAGATAGTATTTTAATAAAAACTTAGTTTAATAGGGTATATGGATCGGGTTTTATTCGTCTTTTCGTTGTCAACGCATAGAAAAAAAAATCATTTCAATCAGAATTAAAACGAAAAAGTTATAGCATTTTTAAGAATAGAAAAAATATTGTTCATTAATTTGAGTTCGAGTTTCTGAACTCGAATTGAAGGGGAAACTTGAACTCGAGTTTTAGTCCTAAACTCGAGTTTGAACTCGAGTTTAAACTCGAGTTTAAACTTAAAAGAACATAAACTCGAATAAAGTTATAACTCGAGTTGTATTTTTTTTTTAGTTTTTCACTCAAAAAAATAAGCCTTAAACCATCACAGTACTCCTCCAAACGCAAACTTTTATAAAATCAAACTTCGAGCAGAGTTCTTTTCTTTTAACTTAAAATTTAAAAATATCATCTATGCTTGTGCAAGGTTACAATCTTTATATTCATTATCTGGGAAGGGTTTAGCAATAATTGTAGCAGTTATGTCAAAAATATCAACGGAAGAGAAACGTTGCTAAAATTTTGAAAGAAATAGCAAATGGTGCAAATTAAAATTTAGGGAGTACCATATTGTTATAGAATGAAAAGGTCGAGGAGAATTTGTAAATTTCGTCCTAATTTATAATGCATGCAAGGGGATAAATTTGTGTGCCAAGGGGCTTTATTTTGGTAGAGTTTTATCATGCTTCTGGCTCTTATACTGAAATAGTTTAATATAAATAAACATTAAAAATAAAAGATGTTACGTAACCTTAACGTTTAATTTGATTCACACATTTAACAAAAGTTGTAATTAATCTAAAAAGAAAGAGCAAATGCGATTCAATTTCGTAATGGCCGATTCTTAATAAACTCTTTGTAGAATATGTATGTATATATATATATATATAGATACACCCACACGTGTACATATAAATTCCATCGGTATGTCAATTAAGGAGCGCACAATAAATAAAAGCTTTTCTCAAATGGTGCATGTACAAGTCATTCAATTAATTATTCGTTTTTTACGAGCCAAAAAAAAAAGTATACATGCATCTAACCAAATCAAAACATTCCGTTGCTGATTATTTAGCTAATTTTGATATAGTTTTCTGGTTATTATATTTGGTGACATAATGCTTTAAATTTTGTTTTTACGGTGGTTGATTTAGATGTTTTTGGTTTTACTATATATAAGTTTAGGGATTGATTTTGTTGTTTTTTTGCTGTGTTTCTTTTCTTATGTACGTACGTTTCTTTTTTTTTTTTTTCTTTTATAATAAAATTGCAAGTCTTGTGGCTTGTTTCATAAAAAAAAAAAAAAAAATCTAAACATTCCGTTGAAAAAAAAAAAAAAAAACTAAACAAGTCGAATTCTCAAGAAGTCATCCAAATAACATAAAATCTTAACCCGTACTGTCGAATAGTTAAGGCGGTTCCTTTTTTTAACTAGAGACTGCGAGAGAAGTAATTATAATTTATACCAGATTATAATTATAATTTATAATTACATCAAAAATTACAATATAATGTATATTATAAAATGTTATATATTACATTGTAATTATATATTATAATGCTATATATTAATATTGGTATATTTAATAATATAATATAGTAGTAAATTATAATTGTAATTAATTATATATTAACATATAATATCATATGTCATAATTACGTGATATATGATATACTTATATTCATAATATATTTACAATAATATAATATCATATGATGATATAATGTAATATGTATTGTTATAGATAACTACAAGAACATGATAAATATAGTTATAATATTGTAATTAATTATATGATGATTATATTAATAAACTAGTTTTATAATATTATAACATAATCCAATAAGGATCCATGAGAAAAACAGAAAGAAAAAAGAAAACAAGCAAAATGCAAAAACTCCAAAGCAGTCCCTGTAATAATAACTTGACTATTTTTATTAGTTGAAACACTTTTTTTGTTTAACGGGAGTTGAAACACGGTACGGTGTGTTTGATTAGTGTATTCATGTCGTAATTTAAATTATAGTTCGTAGTTTGTTACAGTATTTTCTTTCATAAAAAATAAACATAAATTGAGAATAATTTTGAATCATGATTCTGAATTCATGAACCAAACATTCACGAATCGTTCAAAAGATTATATATTTAAAATTGGGAGGGATATGCTCGAAGTATATTTGGAGGAGTACTATGATGATGGATTGATGGTTTGTCCTTTTTACGATTCCTTCTCTTTCTTGGGGGAGGACTACTAAGGCCAGTTATTACAAGTTTTACGGCCAAAATTGCCATTATTCTTATTGACACGTCTAGAAATAATGGTTCTTCGTTTTTTTCCATCAAATGAAGATGAAGGAAGTGAAGGAGAGAGAGAAAGGGAAACAAGATTTATTGATTGCACCGCTAATATATAGTGCAAGAAAAAATATCAACCCCTTTATAATACCATGACCCAACCCATTATAGCTAGTACTGGCCACTTTCTGCTTACTTTGAAAAATGAATATACAGCAATTGCAGATATATATATATATATATATAATTGTTGTATAACCTTCTATCGAATTAAAGTAGTTTATGTAAGTTGCCCTTTCTCCGAATTATACAGTTATTCGTCTCTTGAATATTACAAAAGATCGTGCCCACACTTTTTTTTTTTTTGGGTGCAAATTAAACTAGCTCATCGCTGCTATTGGCCTGTTTTTGTAAAATCATTTTATAAATAATTGTCGTTTTCTGCACTAGAGGTGGACATTAGTCACATATATTCCTGAAAAAAAGAAAGAAATGGACTAGGTTTTTGGCAAATAAACTGGCTAAATTAGCTAATACATGTTATTCGCTTTGAAGCCACAAGGCTTCGTTTGGTTTGGGGTTTATAATCTAAAGCAATTTGCACCAATTTAAAAATTAAAAGAATTAATTAAAAAAATTAAAATAAATACCACCAAACAATATTGTAAGCTTTCTAGAGAGAGAAAAATATGTACGTTTGAAACTCGTTCTAAAATGATTTTATTTTTTATATGAAAATAGAAATGAAAATGTTTTCAATCTCAGACAGAAATCATTTTTGAAAATACATTTAGTAGTTTTATCAAGAGATTATTTTCAGTATAAAAAAAATTCATTAATGTCTCTCTCTCTTTTTCTGTGCTCGAGAGAAGAGAAAACGGAAACAAAAAATGAAAAACGACTAAAAGTCATTTTTCATTTCTCTCTCATTTTACACTAAATCAAAAAATCGTTTTTATTTCCGTTTTTTGTCTTTAATTGTATCAAACGTCGTTTCTCTCCCGTTTTCATTTCTTCTTTCTCAAGAAACGTGAAAAACAAAAACAAAACCAACATTAAAAGATTTTACGTAACCTTTCCATTTCTAAACCCCATATCAGCAGTCAAATGAAGTGGGTTAGGAACTTCTCTCATGTAATATTCGTTGGATCATTTTTCTACGAGCATTAACTCCTAATCCTGTTGAGTATTTTCAACAATCATCAAGGGCTTATACCATGGAAACATGCATGTACTTTGTAGAGCACTTGCTCATTCATACCTAGAAGTATTGTAAACAATAGAAGAAACAAACTCTGCTAATAATATGATTAATATAGCATGCGAGGATCAATACTCCAACAAAGCGTGGAGTAAATTATTTCAAAAAT